TCTGGAATATGTCCTTTTGATTTCATAAGTATCGAATAATTAGTTATGTACATGCTCTATTATATAACTATCATGTAGTCTTATATACACGACAATATAAACTGCAATAAAGTACAACTAAAATGTAGCAAGTGTGCTGGACACGAATAAAAATTCGTTTATTATTTTATAGAGCTGTTATCCAAGACAATTGTATCATTGTCAAGGCCTTCTACTTTATTTAAATTCATTGCCGCCCTCACGCTAACTCACATTAGGAATACTAATGTTAAGTAGGTACTTTATTAAACATCTTCAAAAAGAAGGAGGTTTATAATTCGCATTATTTTATTTTTTATGCAATATCGTCACCAGTTCTGAATACATTTTGGTGATTCTTTTGGAATTAACAGGATTTGCTCTTGTGTTGATTTTGTCACGATTGAAATAGCTGTCTTTTTACATAATAAAATTTTAATTTGGTTTCATTAGGCACCTAAGCATTTTTTTTTAATTATGTAATTAGTATATCGCTAAGGTGTTCGTTTACTTATTTTTAAAATTATCTTGGTTAGTATTAAAAAATCAGCCTTATGTCTATAATAGTGTCGTCAATCAAGATTAGGAGGTTTACGATCTGCTATTGCGCCTATATCTGTATGGGCTTTCAAATGTCAAAATTGCTAATAGATAGGTCCAACATTCTTTTGTGTCATAAAACTTCTCTTGATAATAGTTGCTTCCGGTTTGACTATTAATAAATGTATTTATATATATATATATATATATATATATATATATATATATATATATATATATATATATATATATATATATTACCAAAAATTAGGTTTTAAAATATTAGATTCGAAAATCTTTATCCTAAGTTTTAGATTTACAATGCCTATATTTACACTGAGATACAATAAATGGTGAAAGAGACAAGTTCAGTTGTTCCTTGAAACTCAAAACGAGTTTAAACGAAAATAATGATAGCAAGTGTATATTAAAAAAAAAAAACAAATAATATTGATACGATCTTTATTACAATCGACACGAATTAGGAAACAGCTAAAATATGACGATATAACATATCGTATATGTATATAGATTATGTTTTAATGAAACATGTTATAAACATATAAAAGAAAAAGAAACGCAACGAAAAGCATGGTAAAATCTATTACTTTTTTAATTTGAAAGTTAAAATTAATAATATAATAACAGAAATCAATATTATGTCAGTAGTATGAGACTGGTACAAAATCAGTGACTAAACAGTGAGAAAACAACAACTACCATACAATATCATGTATTGACACTATATATAATGAAAACGTATTACAGTAAAACTAGAAAAAGAAAAAAGAAACATAGGGCTTGGAAAAAATATAGAACAAAGAAACAACATAAAATATAAAATAGGACATCCTGAATTGCAAAGGAAGCATATGATAGAAAAACAGTTTAGAATTACAAGTAATAATTTGAAAAATGCATAGGTATATCCGTATTTGGTTAAAATAAAATTAGCTATTAAAACCGCAGTTGGGAAAATAATGAAATTATGCTCTTCATTATTTTGTAGAAAGCCAATTTTTCTATTCAAATTCCAAGTTATTTCCACGGACATTTTGAAATCTTGGCATTTACCTATTAACATAACAGGTAATGAAACAAACGAGTAAATATTTCAAATTATTTTTGATTGTGTATATTAAAATAAATGATGCTTAAATAATATTGAATGTTTTAAAAATTATTAATTGTCAAATAGAAATATAGACCATTATACTTTAAAATTCCATGCTGTAGGAAACTGCGGGATAAATACTTAGATATTAACGAATCTAGTAATATCCATATAATGTACCTAAGCGTAATGTATAACAATTTATCAAAACACTGATATCCGCATTAAAATTTTCACCGTTTCAAATTTCGTTAAAAATTTATGATTGTATTTAAATCAGGTGGAATTTGAATTTCATCTTTCCTAAGCGAATACACGTGTACTCTTCTTGTAGAGATCCTACAAGTGTTTTTGCTTTATAAAGATTATTCATTTACATTATTATAATGAAAATGAAAAAATAGACTAGCTTCAGGAAATATTATTGTAAAACTAGTACGAAAATAGTATTAATAAAGACTTTATGGATTTGATGGCGATTTCTAATTGTGAATCAAATTTGAGTCGATATAAAGAATTAAATAGAAGTAAAATACGCACTTCTATTTAACCCTAGAAAGATACTCTACGTCCGCGAGACGTACGCAGTTGTTAAATATTGTTATTTCTTTTTATCTACAATACGCAGCGCACTGTCCGTCTCAGTCAACTCAGTCGGTTGTCGGAGCTAATGTTGGATGGTGGTTCAGCAGCGGTAAGTGATATTGGTACCTAGATACAGCTATGTCGTACGTCTACGAGACGTATAATTATCTTTTGTGTGACTTTCGCGAGATTGATATTTTTTTTTGTTTATATGTTTGAATGTATATTTTTTTATATATATATATATATATATATATATAATGAGGAGGAAATTGTGCAATTTTTGATGGGAAATGATGATGATTCTGCCCAAGAAAGTGATAGCGAAGTGGAAAATCAACTCTTCGAAGATGATGTACAAAGTGATACAGAAGACGAGTTGATCGATATAACTACAGATAACCCTTCTTTATCAATTTAATCGACGGAGTCTACTGTCAATATAATTCCTTCACTGAATCCGCATACCCCGCCTCAGCAAAACTATTGGTCCACTGTCAAAGGTAAAAGTCACGGAAGGACATTTTTTAAATGGATAATAATGGAATGGTAACCCCGCCTGCGCTAACGGTATACGCTGGCGGGGTACCAGTGAGAGATGATAAATGAGTATGAAAAAAAAGGCAGGTCAGTTAGCCCATCATGATGAATACACTTGGAATTCTGCACGATGGTTTCCAGGGGGAACCACGTGGAGGTCGATCTGCTTTGGTATATTGCCAGCTATAGGGCCTTTAGTTTCCATTACTAACAATCCCTTCCCCCCTGCGGAAGGACATTAGCAATAAATATTATTCGATCAGCTAGGGAACGCCTAATAGATAGCCAATGTCGATATTTTATAGCATGCTAAACATATCGTTTGTTAACTTATATATCATATATTGTCATAATGTACTCATCAACAATGAAAAGCCATTAAACAGGAACGACTTCATGAAGGAATTGAGCACTAAGCTAACTTCAGCTTGGATGGGAAAAGATTGGAAGTTCCGACCTTGAAAAGGTACTTACGCCACAATATTAAAGAACTGCTACTAGAAAATAGAGTGGATGATAACCCGGAAAGAGAGGAAGAGCCTGGAGCAAAAAAGAAAAGAAATTTTTTGCACTGTCCTTCCAAGATAAAAAGAATGTCCAAAATGGAATGTGTTCTTTGCCAAAAGCCTGTTTGTAGTAATCACAAAAAAGATGTGTGTTATAAATGTACTTAAATTATAAGAGATGATTGTTTCTGTTATATTAAAGACTGTTTTGCATTTATACCCTCAAAAAGTGCCATTATATTTGTAATTGAAGACTGATAACCACATAGAAACTTCCTATTAAAAAAGTTGAATTATATTTTGTGTACTTTTAAGAGAGTTTTATGTTTATTGTTTTTTCTTTTAATTAATTAATATAATAACTTAATGGATGTTTTATTACTTAGTACAATACTTAAACTAATATGTAAGACCCTATAAACAATTAATAAATGCATATATATTAAAATATTAGTTAATAACTAGGCGTACGTCTCTGAGACGTATGATTATCTTTACCGCCATACCAAATATGATTATCTTTCTAGGGTTAAAAGATTTTCGAAGCGTATATAGATATTATATATTATATATTTTAACTTTTACAAGGCTAAATCTAAATATTCCTTTAATGGTCATGTTGCAGGAGATACTCTTTTCATCTCAGTACTTACTTTTTAGCACGCTGTCGGTACAATGTTACATCATCATGACGTCAAACTATCTGAATATAAATGAGGAAAGTTCTGTCTTATATTGTAAATAAAGAAGTAAAACGAGATTATTTTGAAAATATTGAATAAATATGTAACGGCTAGAACGATCAGGGTCCTGATAAACGTATTCAAGATACCTAGAGTCAATACACTTGCAACCTTGCGGTGCTCTCTACAACTGGTGGCAGATAAAGATATAAGGGCATTAAAACATCGCTACTCTATAAGCATACGCAAGTGAAGTTCCAAGATAGATTATTCACCTACTGAACCAATAGAATTGTTTGTTGATCATTAGGTACAAACACGCAAACCGTGAATATGACGAGTGTTTTTTTTTTACTATATGTATGTATAGATCATAAACATAATTTTATTTCTATTTTCAATATGATCAAGAATAAAAATATATCTATTAATGGTTTATCCAAAGCATTAAATATCTCAATTTAATAAAAAGTATTCCAAGCGATATACGTAAAAGTTTTATTCTGATACGTCAAAGTCGTCTTACTGCATATTTGTTTTATTCAAAAGGAGATATACAAGGACACATCCATGTTAAAAGTCTGTTTATAATGTCACCTTTAAAGCACAATTTAAAAATTATAGGTAAGTATATATGGTGTTCTGAAATAGTGCGAGTTGAAAATTAACGAGACAATATTTTTGTATCAACCTTGCTATAATAACAATATTTATCGAAACCAATTTTTATTAACTTTTGTTTAGATGAGAATATTATCAATGAGATCATTGTATAAGTACATGATTATAGCAACTGTACGTGTAAGAAACAATTGTTGAATTGCAGTCTTGAAAATTATTCGCGGAGAGAAATAAAATATTGTGCAACATGCAAAACTTCATTTTTAAAGTTGACAGAAATGTCATGACGACAATGTGCGGTAGACTGAAGGAATGCATCACAGTCGCGAGTGGCGGTGTGGCTGGGGCCTTCGTGACGTCACTCGTCAAAGGTAACTATTAAATTGCAGTTACAGTTGAAATTGTTGAAAGTCGATTGCGTATCGTGCATCGATTTTCGAAACCGTCGCGAGCGGCGCCGGTCCTGCGGCCGGTGCGGGTGGCGTCGCTGCTCTGACTGCCGCGCCCCGTCCCCGCTCGTGCCCGCGCCGCCACCATTTGTTTTGCTGTATTTTCGTTGTTAATCATTCTCCTTGACCTTGTGCGACGTCGAGTGGTCCACTGCACACGACTGCGCACCCCTCACCCTGCAATCCACCCGCGTTGCCTGTCGCCGCCGCATCACACGTGCTAACAATTCCAGTTCCAGTACATCAGGAATCGGAACATCCTTAAAGTGAAATCACTTAGGTAATGTTTGGCAAAACCATATAAGTTCAACTATTACAGGATTCTACTGATAGACACCTACATAAACGAAACTTTTGCAACTTTTATCCAGTTATGTACTAAATGCTCCAAATGGACCCAATTTGTTTGAATTAAATTAATACGCTGATATTTGTAGGTAAGGATAAAAGCAGTTAAGAATTCAACCTGGGTGGGTACATTACTGACAATGGGGCACTAATCCCTTCCCTGATGGTAAATCAGTTATCATTCACACCATATAATTACTCATTAGTTCTACGATCAGCCTTAAAGGAGAGTTCGATAAAGTGAGCTACTCGTAATCCTCGTTCTACACTACTCCTTTCATTTTTGTTTGGAGTAAACGTGCTAAGAGCATTTCTTCTCGTTGCTCAACAGCTATCGCGAACAATTATATATGTTGTTGTTTCGTAATCCTGGTTATGTTCTAGCACTCGGCTTATTTCTAGCTATAAGAATAAGTCTTATTCTGTAATAAGTCTTGTTTATGTATTTTATCTCCACCTTTTGACATCCCACATCAATTATATCAACTGAAATGTGTTTACTTCTTGGATCGTCTTTAGGGATTTCAACTATTAAAGTAAAGGCCATCTTGTCTTATGCCACACATCTCTATCTCTCACAGATCAATATTTGTTATTTTGATGATATTATTACTCGATTACAGAACTTAAAATGAAATGCGAATATTTTTAGACATAAATACCAACTTAAAATATACATTCGTACTTTGCCAAAAATGAGCAATAAACCTTTTTTTATGTTTTGGGATACAATATAATTTACAGTATAATTTCATATAATTTTACACCTGATCTCCTCTTTGGAATAATTGTACTAGTTTCCACATATATAGTTTATAAATAGTTATATTTGATATAAATAAATCAATATTAGTTGATTTATGCATAAGTTCCATGTAGTGTGTTTACGCAAGTTTCATAGATACTATTTAATATTTAAATGAATTTGTCTACAAAAAAATAATGAAAAAATATTAGTCTCATGATGAAATAGGAGTAAAATGTGTCACTACTCTTTTTATCATCATCATATATAGATTCTAGTCTTTATTTGGAATCACTCTTGGTAATAAAACCCAATGAGTTCTTCATAATCACTACGGTTTACGTTGTGCGCAAGATCAGATTATTCCATTTTAATTATTTATATAAGTATAATAATTATCAATATTATTACGCGATAAAACAGCCAACATGTAGAGATCTTTAAATTTTAGAAAAATATGACAATCATGCAATTTACGGTAATAAATGGCGCTGGAATTGATCATGCACGTAATTTTTGTTATGTTCGGTATGTCACATATATTCGTTAAAGTTATAAATATTATGACAACAGACTAAAAAGAGCTATAGTGTAGTTGCTTTTACAGTAGGCAGATTATGTCTTCTTAGTTTCATTATGAGTTAAAAATTTACGTGCATAAGAGGCAAACAATTGTTATATATGATTAAATTATTTTGATTTCCTTATTTCATCCACAGGATTTAGTAAGAGATCACTAGAAAAAGGATAATACATTAAGTGAAGAGAAAAAAAGCTTGAAATAAAATTTATATTAAAACGTGTGGCCGTGTATAGTAAACTGATCCCTTAAATGCTTTTAAGTAGTAACACATCTTCGGGTCCCGCTCGCATTGGAACATTTTGTACCTATAATTTGTTGATATACATTTTGTATTCACACACCGTGACCCTAAAAGTCCCTTAGGCCCTGATGTACATATCGTCAGTGCTATCCCATTTCACATATTATCACACTGCCATTTTGTCATATATGTATCTAAAATATTAATAATGTCATAACTTTTTTAGCTGTCGAAAATCCTATGCTTAATATAATAATACTCTCGAATCGCCTGCATCTAGTGATTTAGTTCACTAAGTAGAGGGATGGGGGACGTCGTATTTTTCTGTTCTCTTGTACTAGGTCGTAATACAAGACTTTTTGGTTGGAGGTTTGTCGAATTATATGACTCACCCACCCATTGCACCTTAATCCTTTTAGTGCCATTGATATTTACTCATATCTACTTAAAAATGCCAAAGAAATCTTTGTCGTGTTGATGTCATTTACCCTTGTTTCTAAAAAAACTATCTCCTCCAAAAATTATCCAATTTTAATATTTTTTTTACAGCAAGCTAAACGGCGACTGATTTTACGAGCGCTATGACGCTCGTGGCACTTTTAGTTGCAATGCGCACGAGCGTAATGGCGCTCGTGGGCACTCAAAGGGTTAAGCTTACTTAACTTTCAGGCTATACCTATAAAATCACTTTGGTTTTACTGCAAATATTCTCATTTCGGATTTTATCATGTAGCAAAACTCCGAGAGTACTTATTCGTCGAGTTATCAAAAATTAATACGGAACAAATCCACTTACATGTAAAGTTTATCAATTACAAATACAATAAAAAAAAAAAAATTAATCGTGTAAGACGAAGAAAAGCTAAAAAATACAATTAAATTATGAACCTCCGCCTTTTATTATAAAGCACTTGGCCTACAAATCTGTAGCTCATGTATACATAATTCTACACATTTTAAAATTCTAAAAATATCTCACATCGACTGAATTCCAAACATCAAAATTATTGAAATATCATTTATTTATTCCATTTATAATATTAATAGGAAACGAAAGTATATATAATTTTTTTTTGCTACCACAAGAATTTAGGTTTTGGTTTTATGCAATGGATGCAAAAAAAGTGAAATAAGTATAATGTATCTCTAAAAATACTGTTTAAGAACAAGAACTACAAATTACGTATTTTAAATATCACATAACCATTACGTATGATGATGGAGTAAGAATACAATGTGTCACCACACAGTACCATACCATGTCAACCCTTAATTGTCCACTGCTGAACATAGGCCTCCCTCTATTGGAGACTGCACCACACAGTATCTCCTTTTAATCCCCAAGATGTGTTTCAATAGTAACCCCGCCTGTACTAACCGCATACGCTGGCGAAACACTAGTGGGGGATGATTGGAGAAGGTGAAAAAGCAGATCAGTTAGTCCATCGTAACGAATTCAACAAGAATTAACCACGATGGTTTTCAGGAGGAACTACATGGAGGTCGACCTGATAGAGAGTATTACTAACAATGGACCCTTAGAGCCTACTGACTACTAAGCCTACTAACAATGAAAAAGGCGACTAGAAAAACAAAGCTCAACACAAATAAGAAGAAAAGGCTCGAAAACACTATACAAAGTTGCCTGGCCAGGGTCAAAATACTAATGCCCAGTAGTGGAATGTAAACAGTACCTAAGTAGATACCTAATAATTTATACTTATAATAAATCTGTAGAAAGGTCAATTCTGTACATGAAATATATTTCCAAAATAACTATCAGTGGGTGATTAGTGATTGATACTGATGCCAAAAATGCAATCAATAAAATTTTTGTCTGTATGTTCGTTATAGAAACAAAAACTACTCGACGGATTTTAACAAAACTTAGTACAATTATTCTTCATACTCCTGGGCAGGTTATAGTATACATTTCATCACGCTACGATCAATAGGAGCAGAACAGTGAAGGGAAATGTTAAAAATGTGCACCCGTGCGACATCGGGGCGGGCCGCTAGTTAGTACTATAATAGGTATCAAGATACATGGTGTATCTAGGTACACAACAACATTACAAGGTACTTATCGTAGAAAAAACATTTATTAACAAAAGCTTAATTATAATATGAATTCATATAAAATTATTACATTAACTTAAGTATTTATTTCAATGACTATGTGCCTATTTATAAATTAGAATAATTACGAGTAAATGTTTTTTTCTTCATCTCGTTACTACTTAACAAATCTTCATTTATACCAGTAGCGCCATCTAGGTATATATGACTGAACTGTGTAACACGACATCTCGTATGAAACGTTAGAAATAAATTGGTAGGTATTTCTTGGCTTATACTATAACGGAATTGGGTCGGTACTAAAGTAAAATAATATAAAAATATGTAAATAAACACAAAATAATAAGCTGACAAAAAATAAAAAGGCATTAGAATGTTTGTTTAGTTTCCTGGAGTATTGATGCTACAGTAAATTTAATAAACCTTATAATTTGAGATGTTTGTATGTTTGATACTCAAAACAACTGAATAGATTCGAATAAAATTGGTACATGAGTATGTAATATCCTAACTTTGTTAAATTAGGATATTGCTTATAACTAATATATTAATACTTAAGTATAATACTTTACATAATGATATAAAAAAAAACAGCTAAAAAATAATAATATTGGTCTCCCAATGTTTGCATATCAAAAAGCATCTTAGTGTTATATGTGTTATTTGTTTACACATCAGCACCTGGCAGCAATAAAAGTATTACTGTTTTACTAGACAGCGTTGCAAATTTTAAAATATGTATGATACGACAACAGAAGAACAAAATTACAATTTTGATTAAAAAATACATAATAAAATTGTAACTGCACTATATCTGTACATAAGAAATATTTAAGGAAAAATTATATGAGGGCTCTTAATAAGACCAATATATAACAAAACAAACCAAAAAAAACTGTAGTGCCATACCCTCATTGCAGTCACCAAATTAAAATATAATGTTGACTGGCCTAATGTCATTGACAATGACATTTCATTGTTTACAATTTCAATCTCTAATATCATCAATGTAGGTGGAGAAGTAAAGAACTCAATTTTTGCGAATAAAAAATAATTAAGGTTCACAATTTTTTTTTTTTGTATTATATTTTATCATGAAAATAATTGTAAGGTCAATATTTATAAAATTTCTTCCAGCTAGATAAAATTTAGATTTTTTTAGCATAGTACTTCATTTTCATAGATGAACACTCATAATAGTATAGTCATAATTCTTAAAAAGTAAATAGGTGTAAAGATATTATTGTCTACATACTTATTAAAAAATTTATATTTTAAAATAAGTATTTTATTCATTCTATTTATGTATTTATTTTATTTATTCTTTATTAACCACATCACAAAAAAATATCTATTACAAAAGTCGGACTTAATACTATATAGCATTCTCTCCCAGTCAACCCTTGGCAAAAAAAGTATATAGGTAATTATAATAACAAATGCAAATCATATCCAATAAAAATAAAAGCCAAATTACAATTATTATTTTTCTCTTGAATTTATTTAATATAAATGTGTGAATTTATATTAGTATATGAGTACACACATTCATATTAACTGCCACCATAATACTCTAAAACACCTATAAATAATATCAATAACATTAAGAGATGTTAAATCAAGCAGTAACCTGAATAGGCCGATAATCAGCCCCTTTCAGGTGACTGCTAGATATAAGCCATCCTCAATATCTTCATTACTATGAGAGACAAGGAAATATTGAATATAATAAACAATAAATTTTTTATTAATCTGATTTTTGTCATTAAATCATCCAATGAAATTTTACTTTTAAAATATATTTAATTATGCATAAAATTCTATTCATTATAACATATGACACCCTTCAATGATTAAGCAAAATTTTTATATGAAACAATCAGAAGTTAATATAATAAATTGACAAATCAGGACTGATGTTTTTTTTTTTTTTTGTAATTTTGAAATTATTGGGTATTTTTTAATAACACTGGTACTAGATGAAGGAGGCCTATACCCAATATGGAGCTAATATCCAAAAGACTACATAACTAATAAATTAACATAGATATTAAGATTTCTAGTACTAAACATAATATAATTAATACAGTTTAAAACTATTGTTGGATATGAGAATAAAGAGGATTTATTTATATTATTATTAATATTCTAATGACATTTTAAAGTAGTAATATATAATAATTAGCATTATAGTACAAGTAAATAAACAGAACCAGAAAAATAATAATCCACCTATGTCTATAAAATGTTGTGGGTAATAAAGGTGTTTAGCATATTGCATTATATTTTTCAGAGTACAATGAGTTCACAGAAATGTGACTATGAAAAAGTCATTCTAATATCAGCTTGAATCAATTGTAGCAACGATATATAATATTTTATGGGAATGGTGTTAGAAAAAAAATTACAAAAGTTAAATTACCATGTTCGATAACAACCTTAAGGCTCACTAACCGAAATTTTCAGATTATCTCAAAATAATAAAAAAAATAGAATATCTATTTACGGATAATAACTACAACACATGTCACACAGAGCAGTACCTATACATTTCAGTAATTCTAATCTAAATAAACAAATTAATTATCATGTCTCAGAGATATTCTTTCTAGTTAGTAACAATTACATGCATGCTTACTTTTTTTTTTATTTTAAGTTAGAATATATGTACTTGCCTGACTCTCTCGAGGGCTCCATCCTCTTTTGTAATTATCTTCTACAATAGGTTCACCACTTTCATAAATTACTACAGTCGCAAAGATGAACCTGTCAGTAACAAGGTCGTTGAACTAAATATACCTATACTTGAAATTATACCCGTTATAAAACATAAATCTTTGGGGGTTCTTTGAAACACATTGAATGATAAACTTACTAATTATTTTTAATAATGAAGACCTTATTCAGTAACTAATGAACACTGAATTAAAATATTTCACAATTGAGAAATTACAATTCGATACACACAAGTGACATAAAAGCAAGCGTCACGTCAATCGTCAGTATATGAAGTTTCGTTTAAAAATTAATATATGTCTTGTTCAGTTGTTGTATTTCTGAACGAAAACACGCATCTGTAAACGGCACAGCAACGTGTGTAGATTTTTTTTTTAGAAAAAATTAAATCTATGTGATAAGGTAAAAGGCGAAAATAATCGTTAACATATTAGAGTGGCCTATATATAATCTTGAAAAGAATTAAAAGAGGAATAAGAAAAGAAACGTCCATTAGATGTTTAAACAAAATAAAATCTGATTATTTTTACATATAAATTCAAGATAATATTTTGAAGTATTTTTTATTTACATAGTTTTAAAAGAATGGTTAACTTCGAGGTGGTCTTTTGTAAATCTATCTCTAAAATCCTTTGCTAAAACCAATGTTTTTATTTGATATATATGATTTATCGTAAAATACGAAAGTATTATTTTACTGACCATTGTAAATGTATTATGTTATATATTGTATTGTATTATAAATTATAAATTTATAATATTTAAAGTTAAATCTAGTAGATATTTAGTTCTTGTTGATCCTTACAATAAAGATTTCAATATGATATCTAATTGAAATTTTAATTTTAGGGATAGGATTAAAGAATGCCGTCTTATTTGAGATGCATGCTTGACTTAAAATTTTTGAAGTTTATATAAGGCGAGGAATAAAATTGAAATGAAATGAGATTTGTACATAAAAACATAACTGTAGTTTTTTAAGTTTACTAATATTAATATTATAATTTTAAAAGGGTCAAGTAGTTGTGGTTTTATAACTAGGCTCCTAAATAGGTTAATATAATATCCTGTCTTAAGAGGCCACAGACCCATCCCCTTTTAATATTATGGGGGAATTAATATTGATATAAAGTAACTACAACAAGGTTGTATACATAATTTAATCTATACTTATAATAAATCTGTAGAGAGATCAATTCTGTACATGAAATATATTTCCAAAATAACTATCAGGGTTGATTAGTGATCGATACTGATGCCAAAAATGCAATCAATAAAATTTTTGTCTGTATGTTCGTTATAGAAACAAAAACTACTCGACGGATTTTAACGAAACTTGGTACAATTATTCTTTATACTCCTGGGCAGGTTATAATATACTTTACATCACGCTACGATCAATGGGAGCAGCGCAGTAAAGGGAAATGCTGGGAAAACGGGAGAAGTTACTCCATTTTTAAGCTTCCATCGCGTGTGCAGCCTTAATGGCTACTTTTTAAAATGTAAAAATGTCGATCCTTGCGACACCGGGACGGGTCGCTAGTAGAGAAATAACACCTGAGTCCTCAGGAATGGCAACGCATTATCAACGCAAGTGGTATCGTGGGCGAAACAGTGTACTCTGTTATGTCCATGGTACTGCTCACGCCTATAGGCGACGGTTATCACTTTCCATCGGGTAGACTGTCAGCTTGTTTGCCATTCTAAGTTGTTTAAAAAAATTCCTACATTAAGCTGCATCAAACAATATTTAGCCGTTTTCTCATATGTCTTATTCAGAAGGAACATACGTACTCAGTTTTTACATCCAAAACTTGATAAACCACTAATTAATTGATGTTCTTTCATTTAATGCATTCTTGGAAATTTTAAGGTAAATTAAATTTAATAATTACTTAATCGTTTTTTTAATTACATCTGGCATCATTATCGATTAATACCTGATTGATATTCTACGATTATTACAACACTATGCTGTGGTTATAAAATACAGTTGCACTCAAAGTTTCTGTCAGTTTTAGTTGTAGCATGTGTTTACAGTTATGCGGTTCTTTCTTAAATTGCCTGTGTTTATTATTAATCAAATAAAAATTTTAATAAGTGTTCGAATATTTCTCTAAACTTAACTCGTTGTGTCACAAGACTTTTAAAGTTTTACGTTAAATTCGCAGGTTAGAAACATGGAAAACAAAACAGATTTTGAGTATCCCCATACATTTATTTTGGTGGGTGCTTCTGGTGATCTTGCTAAGAAGAAAATTTATCCTACTATATGGTATTTATATCGCGATAATCTTTTACCAGAAAAAACAAAATTTATTGGTTATGCACGCACTAATCAGAGCATGTCCGATGTTCAAGATAAGTGCAAAAAATACATGAAAGTGCGACCAGGAGAAGAAGAAAAATTTAAAAAATTTTGGGAAGCGAATGATTATTTGTCTGGCTCATATGATAAAAGAGTAAATTATGAATTTCTTAATCAAACAATTACCAAGCATGAAAAAGGAATTATTGCTAACAGAATTTTTTATTTAGCTGTACCTCCAACAGTATTTGAAGATGTTACTGTAAATATAAAAAATGCTTGTGTGTCAATCAAAGGATTTACTCGAGTTATAATAGAAAAGCCCTTTGGACGTGATGATATTAGTTCTGAAAAACTGAGTAATCATCTAGCTGGACTGTTTAAAGAAGAACAAATTTATAGAATTGATCATTATTTGGGCAAAGAAATGGTCCAAAATCTGATGACCATCAGATTTGCCAATCAGATTTTTAGTCCTTCTTGGAATAGAGAAAATATTGCTTCAGTCCAAATTTCTTTCAAAGAACCATTTGGTACAGAGGGTAGAGGAGGATACTTTGATGATTTTGGTATTATTCGAGATGTAATGCAGAACCATTTACTTCAAATATTATCACTGGTTGCTATGGAGAAGCCTGTGTCCTTGAACCCAAATGACATTCGAGATGAAAAAGTTAAAGTTCTGAGACACATAAGTCCTATAAAATTGGATGACATACTCATAGGACAATATATTGGTAACCCTAAGGGTCAAGGTGAAGAGCGACTTGGTTACCTGGATGATCCGACAGTTCCAAAAGGCTCTGTTACTCCCACATATGCATTGGCAGCTTTACATATTAACAATGCTAGATGGCAAGGAGTACCATTTATTTTACGTTGTGGCAAGGCACTAAATGAAAGAAAAGCAGAGGTAAGGATACAGTATAAAGATGTGCCAGGAGATATATTTAATGGCCATGCTAAGAGAAATGAGTTGGTTATAAGAGTTCAGCCAGGAGAAGCGCTTTATTTAAAGTTCATGTGTAAATCTCCTGGTATGAAATTTGATCTCTTGGAAACTGAATTGGATCTGACTTATAGTATGCGTTATAAGGAGGCAGATGTTCCTGATGCATACGAGAGACTGATATTGGATGTGTTTACTGGCACACAGATGCATTTTGTGCGCAATGATGAATTGAAAGAAGCTTGGCGTATTTTTACTCCTGTTTTGAAGTTGCTAGAGGAGCAGCATATCAGGCCCCTTCCATATGAGTTTGGATCAAGAGGGCCACCAGAGGCAGATACAAAGTTATCAGAATATGACTTTAAATATTCTGGTTCATACAAATGGAAGAAACCTACACTCTCTTAAGACGCATAATTTTTCTCATTGTCAATTTATTGTTGTGCTGATGAAAGTTTTTTTTAAATTTATGACATTGTATTATTCTAAGTGTAGAAGTTATATTTTAATAATGCATAATCTTCTATATATTTTTGATAAAATTTTTACAATTTATATAAGAATATGATACTTAATAACATTCCAAATTTTAATTAAGAGACCATTAATTGTGGGGTGAAAGTCTGACTATTTACATAAATTTATGTACATAATATCAGAATTATTGTATTCACAAATTACTAGTATTGCTGAACACAGTTTAAAAATTATAATCGCTGATCTACAGTAAGGTCATGTTAAGGTCAGATCAAGTCATACAAGTAGGTGTGTATCTACTTGTAACATTTGTAGGTAAATAAGTATCTGTTTTGCATATTTCAGTTCTGAATATAAATATGACAAAAAACTAAGAATAGGGTTTTTTTACAAGTGCCTTACCAGTTATCTTGTATTAAATAATATTAACAAGAGCTGTGATAATGTAATGTTGTCTATCAAGCAATATTAACCTAATAAAAAGTTTGATTTTAGATAAGTAGGTACAATTGTTCTTGTATTAGAGGTCAAACTATTTCACCTTGAAATACTCATAATCTATATTGTGATTGTAACTAGATTTCAACTAATAGACAGAGAATGTAAAGATTTAAGATTAATGAACAATTTTTTTTACAAACTGTTGTTTATATTGTTTATGTCTTTTTTATTTATTATTAAATTAAGTATTCATATTTATTATGACACAAGTATTAATAATGTTAAGACAAAGATAAGGTCTGATTTAAATAAATTTCTTTCATGTTGCTTACGTTTTTATTTTAATTTTCGAAATAGTTAAAATTGTGTAAAAATATCACTTTACAAATTAATTTACCTACTAAGTCTTTTAAATAATATTGTGAAATATTTATCTATTAAGCAGTTACTAAATTAAGTTATTAATTATATCATTGATTTTTATTAGTTGACTGTAATCAATCTGGTAATAAAGTAAAAATACAATATTAGACAATATGACACCCTCACCCCAACACCTCATAATTTTCCTCGTAAGACACAACTGAAATGTTGCATTATACTTGCCAAATAATAATATGAAAGAAGGAAAATTCAAAATCAAGCCAAATGGCTTTTATTACCAATTTGACCAAATAGTCAAGTTGGTAATAAAAGCTAATATCTGCCTGGAGGGAAAGAATTAGCAGTAACGCGAACTACCTAACCTATTGCTAGCAATATAGGGTATACTCTGTCAGGTCGACCTCCACATGGCCCCCCCATGGAAACCAGCCTGACTGGGAATTGGACCCCGGACCTCATTTACACAAAGCAACGTGCCGACCACTGCGCCATGTCGTCATTGTACTGCAAAGGAAGGTATTTTTTTTATGGATGATAATGGAACGAATGGTGATGCGGGCTCCAGTGAGGGATGACTAGAGAGACCACGTGGAGGTCTGCCTGACAGAGTATATTGCTAGCAATGGGACTAGTAGTCTGCATTACTAATAATCCCTTCCTCCCAAGGGAGTCAAGAATTAAACAATTAAATTGCATTTTAGAGACTCCACTTATTCATAATAACGTCAAACCTTCCGTAAATTCATTTTTACCTATTGAACTGTTTTATCTCTTTCTTTGGTAGCAAATTCCTAATTTGAAAGAATGTATTTTTTTTATACAATTTAGAATGGTAAACAAGCTGACGGCCCACCTGATGGAAAGTGGTAACCGTCGCCTATAGACATGAGCAGTACCATGGACATAGCAGAGTATACTGTTTCGCCCATAATATCCTCCATGCGTTGCCATTCCTGAGGACTCAGATGTTATTCCTCTGTACCCTATAAATTCACGCCATATCCCACCCTTCAAACCGAAACACAGCCATGCAAACACAACTGCTTCACGGTAGAAACACGAATGGGACAGAGGTACCCAAGCAATCGACTTTTGTACTAAGTCTCCCTCTGGTAAGTATGTATGTATGTATACTGTTATTGTGCAAATATACCAAATGTCTATTTAATTAATATGCGCATTTTTGATTTCTGACCTTGAATTCCCTAATTCCATCCCTTCAGCCGTTAACTATCCACTGCTAAACATAGGACTCCCCTATAAAGAGGGGGTTAGCCAGTAATTGCAACGATTGGCAGGCAGGTTGGCAATTGGCAACCATTATTAGGCTTTGATAATGTTCTAAGAGGGACTCTGCTGCCTATCTTTCGGCCATTAAGTTCCCTTAGTCGTCTCTTACGACACCTACGACAAAGGGGTGCCCTTTCTTTCCCGTTATTCTATGGCGGGACCACATGGTAATTCGATGTTGAATTAATTAGTTAATATTTGTTTGCTGATTATTTAATTAAAAATTGTGATCTAATACTCTAAAATCTTTAAATAGTGGAATCAAAAACCATACAGTCTATTCATGAGAGCGTACAATACAATAAATGAGCCGAAACTGAGGCATTCTCTGAACCTATCTCTTAAACTAATATTTGATAATTTCTAGAACTTATTGTTTATCGTACCATTATAAACTAAAACTATAATAATTTTGGCTTAAATTTATTAGAAAATTAGTTTACATTGGTCTTTACAATAAAGATTTCGATGTAGCATCAAATGAATATTTTTATTTAGAGATAAGTTTAGAGAAATGATGACTCAATCGGCTAATGAAAAAAATATAGTAAGTAAATGCAGATATACTTTTGCATAGTGCTAATAAAGAATATCTATATAATAGCTACATATTGAGTGAATGTTAAGTACTTCATTACCCATAAATCTATTCTTATCTATGCTTACAATTTAACATAAAGATTTCGAAATAGAATAGATGGAATGCATAATTCACATAGTGTGTTGCTCGTTGTATTTATGACATTGCCAATGCAGTAGAGAGGGAAGGACATATAAAAACGATTTTGACTAGTTCGTAAGTCAAATTCATCAAGATATGTCATTTCTTTTTATTCTAAGAACAAGGAATTACATCGAGGGAATGATAAAATAAGAACAAAAATTTTATATACATATTTTCTACTCACTAGCTGCTATGAATTGAGAAAAATAGCAACTGATGGTGTATCTTTTGTCCTCTTTTTACTAATTATATTTGTATAAGAACAAAGGAGGCAACCATATGATTTACAGTTTTTATTTTATCATATCTTCTACGTATTTCCTTGTTCTTAGATTCGACAGCTTTAATGCAGGCAACTCTATTTTATTTTAGTAAGTGTGTAATAGTACCTACTTATGGGGGAGAAAGGGATTGTTAGTAATGCGGACTATCAGTCCCATTGCTAGCTTTATACCTTATCAGGTCGATCTCCTCGTGGTCCCCCCTGGAAACCATTATGCTTCACAATGGGCTAACTGACTTGCCCTTTTATCTCATCTATCATCCCTCACTGGTGCCCCTCCAGTGTAAACCGTTAGCGCGGGCGCGGTTACCATTTTATTAATCATCCATTGAAAAAAAAATTATATTTATTTATTTTAATTATTATTTCAGGCAACACTTTAACTGTCAGCTGGCTTTGGCTGCTTGAGTTGATTATCGAGTAATGGTGGTGATGTTATGACCTCAAGAGATTTATTGAATCAAACATAATACATTAAAAATTCTCCTATCTCTGGTGATTGATACTGCCGAATAAAACGTCTTAATTGTATTCCAGTAAATCAACGATTTATGAAATGTGTTGTACTATAATCGTTTGATCTTCAGAATCTGTTGTTCGTAAGTGTTGAATCTTTGTTGTAATAAATGCGCTCAAACGCACAAAATAACACGTTGTTCCTTAATGATTTAACGTGATATTATTTTATGTTAATATTTTGCTTTATTTTCAAGTAGGTATATATGTAGTTTCTTCACAGACAAGCCATAAGTAAATAGCGCAAATTAAAAAATGTGAAAATAATTGCATTAGTATTGTTTATTTTGGGCATGTGTAGTGCGTGTTTGTTTGTTGGACTTGGTGTGCGCGCCTAATTTTGAAAGTTTAGTTTAATTACATAATATATATATCAATCGTATATTGTTTTCTATTGTAATGTTTTAATGTTAGTATATTTGGAAAAAACATTTACATGTATGAAGTCAGAGACATATCACAATATCATCATCATTTCAATCACTCTTTGTCCACTGCAGAACCTTCTCCGCAGATTTAGACAATTACATATACCATAGGTATTATTTATAAATAATATTTTGATTAATATGGTTTATTATGGTAATGACATTATAATAAAAATATTTTTTATATGTACTTATAGATATATAAGTTATTTGAAACATTGGTGAACACTTTTATTTTTATAGTAATGAAATCATTATGGGCATTTTTGTTAAACATTATGTGAAATAAAAGCATGTTACTTACCAATGTAATTGGCAACTGATTAAAATAAGTATTCTAGCTTGACTACTATTTTATTATACATATTTTTTTGCTGCTGCTTGCAATCATCATGATTCTTTAACTTTTTATGTATTTTTAGAAAAACAGTTGTAAAATGGGGAAAATTTAAAATTAGTGAAGAACATTTTAATTATACCTTTTTTTAATAACTGATAATGGTAAATCTGTGTGCATGATCAGTATAGATTGATAGGTATTATTGAGTGATGATAGGTGATAAATTCATCAAGAACTCATAGGGTTAGTAATCAGAGTACTTTTTTCTACTGGATGATATTGGAATGGTAACCCTGTTTGCGCTCGGTATACATTGGTAGGGTACACCAGTGACGGATGATAGGTGAAGATGAAATAGCATCGTGACAAATTCAACAATAAAACAATCATGATGGTTTCTAGAGGGAACTGTGAAGTCAACCTGATGGGGTTTATTGCTAGCAATGGGCTAATCCCCATTACTAACAATCCCTTCTGCCTTTCCAATCAGAGTAGTACTCTAAGTTATTTATATATATATATATATATATATATAATTTTCACATTGATATATTAGTGAGGGTTTGTAATATTGTAGAATCACATTTACCTACTTTATTAATGTTATAATATTTTCAATTATGGCAGATAAATACATAGACATATTGGTTTGTTTGTTTATTTATTTTGTTTATTTATTTGCAGTACTTTTTCTATCCTTGACATCAAAATTTCTATAGTAAATTCGAAATTACAGTTCCATATTTTTATTAGATACTTATGGATTATAATATAAGTACCAGTGAAGGAAAGTTGTTAGTAATGGGGACTATTAGCCCCTTAGTAGCACTATACCCTGTCAGATTTATTGACTGTTAGTTTTTTCAGAGATGACTGCATAGACCTCTATGCAGTCGCATCTGAAAACATAGATAATTTTAAATGAATTCATCATGATAGGCTAACCTTCTTCTTTTTTTTTCATTGGAGTTCTACTAGTGTGTACTGATATCACAGAAAAGAAACTGTAATACCTAATATTTTTTATGTATTAGTAGTATCAAATTTGCATCAGTTAAAGTATGATTGCGACATCTAAATATCCAATAATCTTTATAAACTTTCATATCAATTTTTTTTTAATGTATTTATGTATGATAATTAAATAAAAAAAAATATGTATAATATTAATATATAAAGGATCACAAATGATTGCATGCATGTTAATTTATATATTAAAATAGTTTTCTCAGAATTATATTATTTAAACATAAATAGTTCAAGTGAACCTGGAGACAGTCATAAGTTTTTACTTATTTTGAAAACTATTTTTAAATTAAAACATATTTTATTTTATACGACTTAGAATAGCAGAGAAGCTGATGGCCCACCTGCTGGAAAGTGGTAACTGTTGCCTATAGACAAGAGCAGTACCATGAACATAACAGAGTATACTGTTTCACCCATGATACACTCCATGTGTTGCCATTCCTGAGGACTCAGGTGTTATTCCTCTGTACTGTGTAAATTCACTATGATTATAGAAATCAAAGTTAAATTTAGGAATAAATACCTTATCTGACATTATGTTCATTAATTTCTTATCTTAATAAGTATAACAACAATAACTATATTTTTATAAATAACTAGGTATATTTTTGTTCATAGCCTCATGGATGTTGGTGGCAAATGTAAGGAGTAGTACAAATTTGTATTGTTTCCTGCCCAAAGTTGCAGTATAAAAAACCACAATGTTGTATGTATTTCATGTGGATGCTGGTCAAATGACCACATACGATATGAGTTTGACATTGCAGACGTAAGTATATAAAAAAATAATGCTCATAAATAACACTAGATATGTTACACATGGCCATTGATCATCAAATTAATCAGAACTTGTAATATGGATATTAGGGAATTGGTGTGCTAAACCATTATACTACCAAAGTCGTCATATACCGGGTGAAAGAGACAGCTTGATCAAAATGAAAATAGCTGATTCAGATGAATGGTCTGAATTAGACGGCAGATTATTTTCCTACCAGAAATGCACCACAGCCATATAATAACCTATTCTTAGTTTTGACGTCGCACAATGTAACTAGTCTGGCCATAAATACTGTTACATAAAAACTTTTTTTCAATATTTTCATTATTTTGAATTTGGAACACGTTTATTATTTTAAAAACTTCTTTCGATTTCGCGCCATTTTACATATTTTTCGGGTTTATTATCAAATTACAATATGGAATGGGGTGTTAAAGAAAATAGGATTGCAGTGATTGCTTTTCATAAAGTAGGTATGAAGTCGTCGGTCATATTCCAGACACTTCAAAAGCTTGGTATCAGCCGTATGTTCGTATATCGTACTATCAACAGATACAATAACACTTCCTCTGTGGAAGACCAGAAAAGCTTGGGGTGACCGCGTGCTATTAGAACTACAAAGGCTTTTAAAGACATAATTCGCCCATTAAGAAGCTAAAAATCTTATTGCGAGAAATAAAGATTACCGCTAGGACTCTGTTGCGTAATATAAAGCAAGTCCTGAAGCTCGGTGTTTATCGTTGATATACAGGACATGACCTAAATCAATCTTTACAATTAAAGAGAGTGGATCCATCAAAATTCCTTCTGTCGCGATACGCAGTTGAAAGGCACAGAAATATCCTCTTTGACAAAAGTTTTAAAAAAGTTGATATTTTCCGGATAGAATTTCCACTGGTTTTCAGTTCAGAATAATGGTCTGAATTCATTGTTTCAATTTTTGCCAACCTGTCTCTTACATCTTACGTGTTATTAATAGAAAAATATATCACACTAACTGTATCCCGTGGCTTCACGTGTCAATCAGTTATTATCGAATTACATAGGCTATAAATTATTTTAAAAAATTCTGTCTTGTCCATCCGGCTCAAGCGAAGTTGGGCCGGATCGCTAGTATATGAAGATTAAACAACTTTCAAAATGGAAGTTTTTCATTTTGGCAGTATTTTATGTTACGCGATTGTATTGACAAATTCTGAACTGATTTTGGCGATTGTTTTTGCAGTCAGTAGGATTTATACTCGTGTTGTCTTTACGGTAATTTTGTGACAATTCAAGTTGCTGGATATCTTTTAGAAGTCCTGTCTTAATCTCTTTGTCTCTGTCTAATATCTTTTCTAATTACAGCGTGGCTAGCTTAAAAGCAGCTATAGAGAAAAAAACAAAAATATCGTCAAACTCTTTGGTGCTCTTGGTGAGCGGTGGTGAGGTACTGCAGTCTGATCACATGGTATCATCGTACAGTGCTGGAACGGATACAAATCCTATATATATGTTCAGCAAACCATCTGTAAAAGAGAGCCTTCTAAAACAATCCAGTGAGTTATAATAATATTAATGTACCTTTATTTGTATTTACCAACATTTTATATCTTCTAACAATATTTATCCCACCAACTCATAGACTGTTTAAATCTATAATAGTAGGGAGTGTTATCACAATTTAAATAAAAAAGTCTAGTGTCTTTCGAGTTAGATGAAAAAATCCTAATTTAACTACTGTGTGTTAATCATTATTGCATGCAACATTTTTTTTATACAACTTAGCAGTCAGTGAACGAGCTGACGGCTCACCTGATGGAAAGTGGTAACCTTCACCTATAAACATGAGCAGTACCATAGACATAACAGAGTATACTGTTTCGCCCATGATACCCCCTATTATGATTCTATTAATATATTAACATATACGACATTTTCTTACAACATGTATTCAGAGCTTTTAGGTGAATAATTCGACTATTGTAGTCTTTTTTAATTTTGCTTACAGTTTATTTATTGCATGTTTTTACTTTAAATTTCTAGTATATAGATTTTTATGTCTTATTTATTTTCTAACGATAAATTTCGTAAAAAAATGTGATAACATTAGTACTAAATGAGATAAGTATGAATAACGGTTCAGAATAGACATATATATATATTTTTATACGACAGTGTGTGACCTGAGTCCAATAGCGGAGTTAGGAGCTGGTGAATCCAGGAGCGAAAGTCGAGGCTTTGATGGGAAATCAGTGGCCGAACTGAAGGCAAATGTGGACCTGTGTCGTTCCATGCAATCGAATAACATAAATACTGTGATTTCGTGCGCAACTCTCGCTCAGAAGTTCAGTGACCTCGCATACGAAGTGTCTAGGAGCTGTGAACAATTGGTACATGAGCAGCATTTACAGCATCAGGTGAGAGCAGTTTCGATGCTTTTACTACTACAAACATATAGTCTTATTAAGTGCTTACATAAAAGTGGAGGTTTTTGATTTGCTTATTAATATATATTAGGTAATATAACATATATATAATAGGTAGGTGTGGGCATATGTACATATAGTGCGGCCGATTCTGAGGTACCATTTTTTTAAACTTATTTCTTAACCTAATATTTTAATTTAATTTCGCCAAATTACTGTTTTATGCACTATCATAATCTAAATAAATGTGACTTAAATCTGTTAGTAATATATATAATGGTCTTTATGATAAAGATTGATATATTGATATTTTTATACTACAAAGGTGGCAAACAAGCATTTGTATGCTTGTTCGGCACCACGCCCGACCTGATGGAAAATAGTAACCGTCGCCTATAGATATGAGCAGTAACATGGACAAAACAGAGTATATTGTTTCGCCCATGATACCTCCCATGCGTTGCCATTCCTGAGGACTCACATGTTATTCCTGTGTACCCTGTAAATTCACGCCATATCCCACCCTTCAAACCCAAACACAGCTATGCAAATACAACTGCTTTACGGTTGAAACGAATGGGACAGAGGTACCCAAGCAGACGACATTAATCCGATCCGATGATTGATGCCAAATTGATATTTTAATTTTAGAGATAGGTATAGACTATCGATCGATAGTGTCGATCTCAATATCTAGTATGTATAATCATATTTAGTTTTTTGTAGACATATAATCTAGTTTACATATATCTATCAACACATTTGTTATTATAAATTAGTTAATTATGTATTTATGATTTAGGGATTAATAAAAAATATTTTTTTATTACATTAGGGATGGGCAGCAGTCGTAGCCAATTTAGAGGACATATACAATGAGTTTTGTGAACGATCAAGGAATTTCAAAGAGTCATTTAAGAAACATCGCCAGAAAAAGGAGGAGTATCAAGAGCAATTGAATACGTAAGTTATTTGCGTTTTGCGATTACAATTTACAATTTTAACGACCGCTTCTCACGATATTGTTGTGGGTTATATTTGTATTGATTTCTTGTACCAGTGATTTCAGCGAAATGCATGACTTTTTAAATATTGTCTATTGTATTGTATCTTTAAAAGCATTTTTGGGACGATTTTAAAAAATACTTCGAAATACCTCCGGTTCTATCTTGCGAGATTCATTATATAATTTTTTTCTTGCTTTTATATCTACACTTCTACACTAATATTATAAAGAGGAAACATTTGTATTTTTCTGTGTATGTTTGTAATGAATAAACTCAAAAACCACTTTGCCAATTTCAAAAATTCTTTCACCATTAGAAAGCTATATTCACCCTAAGTAACATAGGCTATATTTATTGCTAGAAAAGATTAGGGATCCTTACTAAAACTTTAGTAATGTAACTCAAGGTGTAAAAAAATGTTAAAAAATATATTTCGTCGCTTGCGCTGCGGAAACAAAAGTATGTTCTATAATATTGAAGAAAATATCAATTACTATAAAAATCTTCGCGATACTATATGCCCAGCTATTATCATTATGTCACAATAACCACTTTTCAAAATGTCGTAAAAATGTCCACCCGTGCGAAGCCGAGATGGGCTGCTAGATAGATAAGATAGATAAACTTTTTATTTAAGCCATTTATGACACACGTAAATTTACAAATGGGTTTATACAATCAAATTATTTACACTTTACCGCTAGTTCATTATATTGCCGTAAACGTATTAAGTAATTTTTCTTCAACATTTTTTTTTGTTTATATATATCGGAGAAATCATCAGTAAATATATCTCATATATAAAAGTTTTATAATTTGTTATCGATTCTGGTGCTTCTATAAACAATTTTTAATTACGTCACTTGGCGGAGGTCGTCAGCAAATTGCTACTTAGAATTAAGGTAATTTGTTTGAAGCCATATCTTTTAATAAATATTCGTAAGTCATATCTATATTCACGATTACTTTTGGGTGTCGTAAGAGACGATTGAAGGAAGTTAATGGTCGAGAGATGGGCAGCACCGTCGCTCTTAAAACACCACCAATAGCCTAGTTGTGGTTGCAATTTGTCAGCCAAGCGTCATAATTACTGGCAAACGCCTCTTATGGGGGAGGCCTGTGTTCAGCTGTGGACTGTTAATGGTTAATATCGTCGTCACCATCATATCTATCTTCACGCTAATAGCGTTGAGGAGTAGGCAGAGCGAAGTCAGATCTAAAGACCTCTATCATTGTATCTCTTCCGATTTCGCAATCTCTTTACTCCTCCCTGAAACAGAACAGTTTATTTGATCATTGCAGGTTTCTTTAGATTTCTCCTGTATTTGCATTACATTCGTATTGTGTACATACCTGTGTTGTTGACTTGTCATCTGATATTGTACGTGCTCTATCCAAAGTAGCATGCCTTTTTTCATTTTTACACCAGCACATTCTATGCGTAATAAAACCTACTATATTATATATATGTATACATATACATAAATAGGTTACTTAACGACCTACTAATTGTTGTTTCTGATTAGGTATTACGTATGTATCCAATACTATATCCCTAAATGAGGTTAGCACAAAATAGATTAACTTCCAATTTATCAATTTTGGACCACGGGCTGTGTATGTTTATTTAACGCAGTCACAACGTGCACAGGGTCAGTAGGTCCAAGTCTTTTGTCACGAGGTGAGCCACAGTAACTTCATGCTGTTGTCATTTAGTGTGAAATCTTATTTTAAGCATAAAGCTCCATTTAAATAAAGTATAACTATTAATCATCGGAATATACGGATGTAATAAGTATTTAAGATTCATAAAATTAAACAACTTTTCTCAAGAGTATAGTCAAAATTAAAGACAAAATAATCTTCAAACTGTCCATAGTAACCATGCTGTCACGTGATCAATTTAGTATGAAATATTTAAAAAATATTTTCGGGTTTCGGCTGTTGTTATTAGGGAAATTTTACAGTTTTATGACTATTATCATTGGATTTCCAACTTAGTATTCGCATTACGACCATTTCTTTATTCTGTAGAGTGGAATTAGAATAACGGAGAGAATCTTTCTTTTTCTGCCTCTTAAATTTTTATTTAGTGTCAATATATTAATAGCATTCTTTCTTTGCTATATTGATTTCGCTAACAACTTTGTAAGTTATGCTTGCGTTAATGTTTTAGTTTATTTTATATATAGGTACCGATTAATATGTGTTCTAATTTTTGTTCTGTGGTCTTGTTTTCTTTAGTCTAACTACACATATGTTAATAGATTATTTTCTGTATTAAGGTCGCTGTGTATATTTATACAAGTGTATCTATTTTATCTACTGTTTGTGTTCTTTTATTTCCTATGTTATATAATGTGAATGAAGTATTTCTACTACTAATAAGTAGTATTCATTAATTTATCTGTTGTTATAATTCGATATTTAAAATATACAAATACCTACATCTTTTAACAGTATATTTTATACTAGGAGTGTTTTTAGCGGCTTCGATCGTGCAGATCTTGCTGTTTACTGATTCTTTGAGTATCAAAAAAATCTTAACACCACCATTAGTCTTATGTAAATTTTCCTGTTAATAATTTCGGCTGTGTGCTGATCAAATAGTCATTCATCCTCTTTTATATTATATATCTATAATTAGGTAACAAATTTTTGGCCCGTTGTTTCGTACGCGTGGATATCTGAAGTAGGTAAATCAATGAATTAAACTACTTTTATTGTTATATCATATATCAATATATAATACTGTTATCATGACATACTCCATATTTTAAGTTAGTTTCTTCAGGAACAAAGCTGTTAAACCGTATCCAACTTGGTGTAGTGCTTTCTGCGTAATGCCGGAACAAACATTCAGATACAAAGACGAAGTAAAAAAAGTTTTTATTTCAGTTGCTTTAATTAAGACCCTTTATCAACTTTTCTTAAATGTCTCCTATGTACGGAGCTATTTACGATTTTATTAGTAACTAAGGCTTATTAATAAGGATTATTCGCAATTAGTTATTCTTTATTTCCTCATGCATGACTGACCAGTGATTTTTTACATATCCTTATAAAGGCTACATTTACATTTAAGATGCAGAATACATGTCTAGCTTGTTATCTCATTTATACTTAATTATCATAGTCATTAATTTGATTAATAAAGCCCATAGTGCGATGATAATGATGGTCCAATTCCTATATTTAATTAATTTTTCTATTGGCGTATTGTGAGACTTAGAGAGAAGTTAGATTTTGAAATAGCCACTGACAAGACCGCATTTAGCTATTTCGCCGTTCCAGTTAAGTGTAATATTTATTTACCGTCCTTGACGATAACACATTATTGTATTGTATTCAAATAAAGGCGAGCTTTTATGCTTAAAGCTAGGCGAATGCTTACCATTTTTTTACTCTCGACTGCTTCTCTGAGCAATAGCACGGTTGTTTCCCCCTCTCCTAGATCGGGCCCTGGTCACTTGTTTCAGTACAGTATGTCAAGTAGTTACACTAAGAGCTCTTATTATTTCAACATTGTGTTATGTTCCTTATACATATTGGAGGTATTAAAATATATGTTGTCCACATCTGAACATTTTTAACCGACTTCATAAAAGGAAGAGGTTCTCAATTTGGGTATATTTTATTGCCTCGTAACTCCATCACTCATAAATCGATATCAAAAATTCTTTTTTTTACCTGAAGCTGGTTTTCAGATTGGCCCTATAGAAATTACAACAAAATCCGTTGAGTAGTTTGGTTTAAAAATCAACGTAATTGGTCTGGTCTGGCCACGTGGATGTCGATATTTTTGTTTGAGAATCAAAATCTATTGTCTAGTAACAGTTTTCTGTCAGTCAATTTTTACCTGTTAATAATACAATATGAGCATTGGAATTTCTCTGTTTACAGCATTCAGTGCTGTTCAATTTAGTATAATGTTATCTGTTAATGGTGTTCCTTTGTTTATATTTGGCCGGGATGGTCAGATAATAAGATGTAAAATATTTGTCTTCGCGTCAATATTCACATGTGTCATTAGAGTGACTCGTGAAAGTCATTAAAACTTAAATAATATAAACATAACCACATAATCTTTGCTAGAAATTCTGGCAAGCTATTTGCGACAATATTTATCTCAGTACTATAATAAAATTGTTACTGCAAATGAGAGGTATTTAAGAAAATATAAAGTTTCTTATAAGACTAATAGAAGTCAAAAGAATAATTTATATAAATTTTGTCTGTCCATCTATTTTTAGTCAGCACCATTTGCACAGTTGTGTTCCTGAAGGTTTAATTTAAAAACTGGTATATGTTTTATTTTAAAGAATACTAAGCTATTTAGAAGTGATCAACTTCATTAGTTTTTCTACTTTTAAAACCACGAGTGGAGAGAAAAGGTAGATTATTATAAATTGTTATCAATTCATCAGAGAGAGTTTTTGTACAGAAGTCGTTTGCTTGGGCACTTTTGTCACATTCGTGTTTCTACTGTGAAGCAGTTGTGTTTGCATGGCTGTGTTTCGGTTTGAAGGGTAGGATATGGCAGTGAATTTACAGGGTATATAGGAGTAACATCTGAGTCCTCAGTAATGGCAACGCATGGATATTATGGACGAAACAGTATAATCTGTTATGTCCATGGTACTGTTCATGTCTATAGGCGACGGTCACTTTCCGTCAGATGGGCCGTTAGTTTGTTTGTCATTCTAAGTTGCATAAAAAATATTCACATTAGTTTAAGTCGTACATAAATGATTTTAGGATTGTTTCCTTAAAAAATTGTCGAGAAACACCGATACAAGAGTTAAAAATTGGTTAACGTTTTTTTGAAACTTGATGTTCCATCTAAACGTACATAATCTATATAGCATTTTTAGTTTTTTTTTTTAGTGGTGAGCGCAAAAAAATAAGGATAAAATAAAATACTTTTATGAAAAAAATACAATTCAAATAAAAACTTAACCCTTATGCGAATATGTATATTACATAACTTTTATTGACCTTGTAAAGTACTTATACAAAGTTTCTACATTAGTGTAATTGTTTAATAATACTTTTTTAATGAACTATTACTACCTAATGGGACAAATAATCGACCTTGGAGTCGCAACTGTGGTAATTGTCTACGTGATAACCTCATTTAAAACCGGAGGTACATATTCACTAGTTTACTAGGACATGTAAATACGCATTGTAGTGATTTAATTAACATTGAGGTCAATTTTGAGGAGCCCTTCATGAAAACTGTCTCTAAAACTAAAGTTGTAAATTGATACTCGTAGCGTAAATATAGTATGCTAATGTATTATGTCACAGATCATCATGTACTTGGTTCTAACTCCAACTTTATAATGCTATTCATACTGATTTTTGAAATAATGCCATTAACTTTTTGATTTTAGCGACTTGAATATTCTAACTAATTTTGTAACTACTTGATTGTAGAGGAGTGGTCTCTTAAGGCTTCATAGATATATACAGGGTGAAATCGAAATCATTAGAATCGTATTAAGGGTGTGTTCGGAAAATATAATTAAACATTTTTTGCTCAAGTAATAAGGATTGATCATTGAAAGAGTTTCAGTTATCTGTTTTACATATTAAAACGCCGCGTCCTAAGGTAATAAGTTAGTATGGGAAGCACAAAGGATACTGGAAAGGTTGCAGTGTCACAGGTTTTTCTGCCTGAAAAAAGCCCGTCTGTGAATAATAGTAATAGTTAGGATGTTTTTTGTGACTTTTAAATCCATATTTCTTAGTAAAAAATGTTTATTCTTTTCATACCACGAAGGTGGCAAATACATATATAGCCTGTTACACTTGCTGCTTGCAGCTTGCTACACTAGGGCTATCACGTGCACGTTGCCGGCCCTGAAGAAACCTTAATATACCCTTTTTGAAGAACCCCATACTGTACCAGTAATCTCTAGGAAAAACCTTGGCAGGGAGCACATTCCACAGCCAGAGCGTTCGCGGGAGAAAACTCCTCTGAAACTGCACTATACGCGACTATAGATTTAGGTTCTATTGTGTGAGAGTGAATCCCTTGTCGATGGCGAGTGGTGCGATGATAAAAGGTGACTGGTATGATTATTAAAAATGTTCCGTTTTACTGGTAGAACTCGGAAGAATGCTGATGATTTTATTCCACACTGTGTGAGATTGTATGATCAATGAGGGTAGATTGCTAATATTAAAATGTATTTGTAGACTCGGCGCAGTGTTAGAGTCACTTGGCAAGATACCTATTCTGCCCGCGCTGCAAGTGAATGCGGAGGCGCACCGTTTCTCGGGCTTTGACGTTTTTGAGGAGAACTTTGAAGGCCATCTGTACAGGGTCAGTCACCCCCTAGACAACAGCTCTGAGAACAAGCGATGCCAGGATTTTGGGGTGGAAGCATTCAAATTGTCTGAGGAAGATGGTAAGTCTAAATTTTGTATAATAAAGGTAAAGGTAGTGTAACGTTATTTAGAAAACTGGTAGAATGATAGTGCTGCATGCAGCAGGCTCGCTGATTTATTGATGACGAGTAGGTACTCGGAAGTTATTATTTATGATGTTCTATTTATTAAAAGTCTGTATTCGCTGTACTATATCATATCAAACTGGTATCAACACGTGCAAAGATACATCCTTTCTTTAAATTGTCATAGACCATTCCTCCACACGACAACAACATAACGTGCAGAATGTTAGCAAGAGTATTTTGTAGGTGTAGCGATTTGCTTTGTACTTTGTGTTTACAGCCGCCTTACCCCATATCAATGCATAGCATCGGAGACAAAATGAACAAGACATATGTGGATATGTACACTATTCATCAGACATTTGACATTATATTTTATTTCAGTTTTTGATCAAAAAGACGCGTCGACAAGTAAAGATGGCGCTGTTGAACAGACAGAAACCGAAAAGCAAATTGAGGTGTCAGATGAAGGAGATCGGTTCGATGTTTTCTCATACGATAGCAAAGAAGAGCCCTCGCTTTTACATTGGATATTGGCTCAGGGGAACAAGGCGTCGCTGCAAGATATATTGGACTACTGCGAGAAAGGCCTCGCGCTGGTATGTCGCCTCGTAGATATTTAAATTAATTTAATTTAGATTTTATTCTGTAAAGGGTAGACAAGGGATTTAGATAAATTATATTTTAGCTTTTGTATCGAGAAATTTGAACGTATGTATTGGTTTGACTAAATATAGTTACTGATTTTGATAATTTAGTACACACACATTCATTAATGCACATTTTATTCATTTATATTGATTTGAATCCTGTAAGAGTCTTAACAGATTTGCAATGTTATTTTGAATGTAGTGTAAGCATCCACAATATATATTATATTTTAATTTAATTCATTAATTTTGCAAATATATTGAAAATTCGCAATTTCCTATTAATAAAAATCTAAAACCTCTTATTGTTTACTATATTTAATGAAATAAAAGGAAGGTACCGTGCCTTCAATCTCGCCGACTTCATAATCGTTTTGTATCAATTTAATTTACTCATTAGTTCTCGGGTTATGAGAAACACAAATAAAAAAATCTAATATATTCCGAGTGTCGGCGATAGACTCTCTCACTACTTCTAATTCTTCTACTCAAAATGCGGACGGACGAGCAATAGTCGATTACCCCTATTGCGGATTATAGTCGACAGTATTTTTTTTTCAACTTTTAGATCGATGCGGAGCCCCTGAAGGAGCATGAAGAGGAACTGTGTCGAATCTTGACATGGGCGAATATGTACGGATTGAAACAGATCAAGGGCATAGAGGAACGGCTGTACGGACTTGATCAATTGCTCAATGACGTCAAGAAATTAGAACGGGATCAGCACGACCAGGCCGCATCACTTACGCAGGTGAAATGTCACGTCGAACTAATCGATCATTAATTGTCAATATGCCAATTGTCGATTAGATAGTCTGTGTAGTACAGTAATGTAGATAGATTTACTTTGTAGGTAGATTTGATTTAATATTTTATTAATATTTTATAATATTTAATATTGAATCTTTCTAGTACTTTTTGTTAAAATCATATGTGATTTTAACACAAAGTATAAACTAGAACATCTCCTTTCACATATTATCTCACTTAAGAACCAAGTTATTATACATAGGAATATAAAATTTATACTAATTTACTAATTTATATTTTTCTTATTTATATATATGTAGATTTATATTTTGTATACATTTTACTACATGTAGTACTACTGTACTTAAATGTATGTTTTCAATACACTCTTACGCTACTAATGCCCACTCAAGACTTCTTGTGCTACTGTGTTGGGTTGACTGAAAGAGATCTTTTTTTGAGATAAGTTCATATTTACTCACATTATTTCTAATAGTTGATATTAATGCATTTCTAAGTGCAATCAAGAATTTTATTATTAAGTTTTTATACTATATATTTTATTAATATTTTTATACTATATATAATTATTAATAAATATTACTTTACATTTGTAAATAAAATACTAATTACATTTAAATTCTAAAGATATTTATACCATATTGCCTTACAATAAATATAATATACTGAGCTTAAGAATTCTTTTATGGATAACTTGAATAACTTGTTTTTATTACATTATTACTGTATTGATTACTAATGGAACTCGAATTAAGTCATGCTATTATAATTAATAATCCAAACGAGCATTGCAATTAATTTATGTTACCTTTTTTGGTGTATAATATATGCGTATATAGCGCCACGTGGTTCCGGCATAAAATGTGCCACTTCTTATTTTCCCGTGGGTGTCGTAAGAGGCGACTAGGGAATTTAATGCTCGAGGGATGGGCAGCAGCGTCTCTCTGAAAACGTCACCAAAGTCTAACTGTGATTAAAAATCCACTTGCCAAGCGTGGCAACTATTGGCAAAACTCCCCTTTATGGAGAAAGTCTATGTCTAGCAGTTGACAGTTACCAGCTGATACAATATAATGCAATACAAGATAAATATAAAATGTTTTTGAAAAGTTATTCACGTTAAAAATTTCACATTGTTTAGTAAAATGTTGGGCATTATTATATTTTATACAACTTTATTTTAAAATATTTCTCAAGAGACGTTAAGGTTGCTATTGACCTTGCCAACTGCAATCCTTGTTAATGGCAACATCCTGAATATGAATCAGTTCAGTGGCCCAGATATAGATTAAACCTCTAAGGTCTATGATTTGAATTCCTACTCACAATTAGCCACTAAAGAAAATATAAAATTAATATTCCGAATTTATTTTATTCCATTCTATGTAAAGAAATAGAAGCCACAATTGTATGTATTTTGTGTGAATTTTTTGCTCAAAATTAGGTAAAATAAAGAGGCAAAAATTTTCCGTGTGGTCTCGGTATTGAATGGACCATTCCTTTCTTTCCTGTGAGTGTCTTAAGCGGTGACTAAGGGAACTTAATGGTCGAGGGATGGGCATCAACGTCTCTTTTAAAATACCACGAAAATCTAACTGCTGTTGCCAATCTGCCTATCAAACGTGTTAACTATTGGTAAAATCTCCTATATGAGGGAGGTCTATGTTCAGCAGTGGATGGACAACGGCTGAAATGATGATGATTATTATATACTTAAATATTTTTTTTATTACAACTTAAAATGGCAAACAAGCTGACGGCCCACCTGATGGAAAGTGGTAACCGTCGTCTATAAACATATTGGACAAAACGTTACGCCCATATATGCGTTGCCATTCCTGAGGACTCAGATGTTATTCCTCTGTACCCTGTAAATTCACGTTCAAACCGAAACACAGCCATGCAAACACAACTATACGGTTGAAACACAAATGGGACAGAGATATTCAAACAAACGACTTTTAACCCGTTATTTTTAGATTCAGAGTTTAAATTTATGATGGTAACACTAGAATGTTGTTTACAGTATCGTGACCGTTTGAATTCGGCGTGTGATCCGTCTGTACTACCAACCTTGGTACAGTCGCACTGGTGTCAGCTTGAGAAGTTACTCAAAGGACACCAGACGCTAGTCGATATCAGACGGCGAATTACAAAATCAAAGGATGAATTGTCGTATACACTAAAAGCTAGATTAGGGTAAGTGTATTCTAATATGTAGATATATAATGGCCTTTCCCGTGATGTGTTCCCTTCATCATATAATCTCGGATCCTTGAAACGTAGTATGAAATATTAATTAATGAGCCAGCATAGTGTTGCCGACTATTTAGAAAAGAACATTCTCTTTTCAGTTGGTCACATTCATACATCATACTGTCTTTGTGTTTGCTTAGATCACATGTCATGCTATAAGAAAAATGTTTATTCTTTATCTCATGAAACTTAAAACATACGCTATAGTAAATTCACAGGTTTATTAATATAAAAAGAATAAAAAATAATGCTCCCTTAATAAGTGCATTTCTTATGTATTATATATATGATTACTTTAATGTGTTACTATAATTCTCACATATTTTTCACGACATCTGCCCTTCATACGCTTTCTATTTTTATCTAATGATTAGCTGGTAGAGAAAGCCATAGAGTATTAAGCTCGCCATTTGTACAAAGTTTTATTGTGCAATAAAGAATAAATAAATAAATAATCCACTCTTAGTATTTTGGTAAACAAGCACTCGTCCACATTTTGAATTTATAATAGTAAAGGAAAGTGTTAAATGTTGAACTTAATATAATAAATAAAATTAATATGAACCTTGTTGTAATTCTTTTATAAACAAGTAAAATTACATTAAAGAAATTGTTTTAAAAAATGCATTATAACCAATACGTTGTTATGTTGCAGGACGGTTTTGCGTATCGAGAACTCGATGTCGGTGCAGGATGCGCACGCGATGCTCTCGTTCCAGTGCTTCAACCGGCTTGCACGTTACTTTGGCATCGTTGCGCAGTTGCACCGCGCGCCCGCTGTTTTCGTGCGTGCCGCACACGAGGTGGCGCGGCGTCGCGCTTTCTCTACCGCACATTTGCAGGTTTGATAATATAGCGTCTTTTACACTATTTGTAGGTACATTGCCAGGCCTTCGTTGGTCTTTTGTGTAGTGCCACCCAACTCGTCTGTTTTTGCTTGTCATCATTTGAAAAAACTTATGTATAGGGTTTTGCAGAATGTTACGCGTGACGTTTGTTTCGTCTACTTATTATATAAATACCTGATAGTATATTTTATGTTGTATTAGTAAGAAGTCAAAATATCCGGCTCGGAGTACCAGAAAAAATGTGTTTAATATTAGAGATTTTTTTTAATATTAAAAGACAGGCAGTACACCTGCAATGTCTCTGATGTTACGAATGTTCATGGGCAGCGGTAGTCATTTACCATAACGTGAGCCGCATGCTCGTTTGCCTTGTGTCATAAAAAAAAAAATGTGAGACAACCTGAATATTATTTATAATATTAAGTTTATACAGGAGACTATATAATATGAATATCTTTTAAATTTTTAACAATCGCTACATGGGTGCCAACAACAAAATGTAGGTAAAAAAGAAGCATTGTATATCTGTAGGCCAAGTGTATTTATTCTTTGGATTTGACATCGTTTTCAAAGTAGCACGTTCATAATTTTCTATACGAATTCTTTACAGTATAAGCTCGTTTCCTATATTGATCACAACTCTCTTTCTGATTTGCTAACAGTGGGCGACCGAGCTTGCTGCGATGCTGCAGAAAATCCATGACGAGGAAGTATCTCGGCGGCAGGAGTTCAATGCGGTGTTCGAGGGTCACTTTTTGAACAACCTGTTCCCGGGTATGATGGAGATGCCGCCGCCGTATGCGACACAGGCGCCCGTGCAGTTCGATGCACGTCTTCCGCAGTTAGCGGTCGCGGACGTGGCCGCGCTTTCTGACTCCTTCCCACAACTTGCGGCCCATGTACCTACGTACGATATGACAGCCACCCTTAAGTTCTTTCAACAGAGGTCAGTTTTGTTTAAAGGTGCATTCAGACTAAAAATAATGAGTACGAAATGTAGAATAGGATATAGAGGAATTATATATACCAAAATTTTTTCATATATACAGTAAAGCAACCAAAGAATTCTCTTTACTTGTATTTATTATGAATGACTGAGAGAATGATAGATATTTGCTTAGTCAAATTCCACATTAATCTGATTAATAATTGCTCATTACTTATTGTGCATTGTTGTTTTTTAATTTTCATTTCCTTATTATTATTATTTATTTAACTAATTATGATTAAATAAGAAATTATAAATTTGTTTTAGGGTGCAAATACCTGAACAAGAGGACAAAGAAGTTAATGTTGAATTGGGCCTTGAAGGGTGAGTTGCTTCTGAAATATCAGAGTTACAAATAATTTAAACTGTGTAGTATTTTAGTATCAGTGTAAAAGGCCTTTCACAAGTTCGCAGAAACATTAAAAAATAGCTTCACGAGATTAATGTCATTGCAAATGTTTTCTTTTTCATATTCATAAAATATGTATGAAACAAAAATTACACAAACAGTAATTTCTTATGCTCAAAGACCACTGACTATAATCGTGAAATAAATAATATGTGACCAAATAATCAAAATCAATTCAATATTGGAGACAATATTGAGTAAATTCTTAAATGTAAATTAATTTCCAGGGCTACTGAATCTGAGGCAGAGACGGGAGATTTCGAGAAGCTAACCGACCAGATAGCACCGAAGGAGTTGATAAGCACGTCGACAACGTGCGCCCCCGAGACGACGGCGGTGGCCACCGTGACCGAGGTGCGATCTCTACCGGTTATCTTGGAAACAGCCGAGAGCCCCCAAAAACGCTGCGACGAGTTTGAGAACTCTGACTTTTACATTGAAGAGTCGCTACCGTCGAGCTTGGAATGGGGCCGGGACGAACGACAGGTGTACTTCTAACCCCTGTACCGATCGTAATCATAGCCCATCGTGTCAGACCTCCCCTACCTCTCATTGTTTGTCAGATTATAAGCTGAGCGAGTGGAGAATAGCTTCGTTAGGTTTTTATACTCCGGCTACGCACGGGTTGATAGAATTTTCCAAAATAATATAATATATAGCCTATGTTAATCATTGATAATGTAGCTTTCTATTGGTAAAATAATTTTTAAAATTAGTCAAGTAGTTTTTGGGTTTATCTATTGCAAACAAACAAATTTGTCATGTTTGTAATGTCAGTGTAGATATTCGTCGTGAATTATAATTTCATAGCTTTTAAACTGTTCATATAGCAGCTACTTTTCAAATGTTTATTAAGGTGTCTAAATGTAATAAAATTCATATTTGTATGATGGTTGCATACTTCTCCCTTAGTTGGCTGTATACAAAATATTATATTTGATATAGTTTAAAATTTGTGAATTGTGTATTGTTTGCATTGCTATTGTAAAAGTAAATACCTGTTTCGATAAAAACTAAATTTTAAAATGAACTTTTTCTGATATTAATTCATACAGAAAATTATTCTTAGGAATATTTATTACATCTGGAAAATATTCGTGTACATTGATTATTTGATTACAATTATTTTGTTTATTTCTGTTACTATTAGTATAACTGTGACTGTCAATGAAGATTGACTATCACTGTTATTACTAAACAAAATAATGTGAATCGAATAACCAGTGATATGGACTTCTGCCAGATATCACCTAATTGAGTAAAATATTTGTAAATAAATTATGAGGCATATTCATAACTACCTTTCAAAACAGAATAATTAATCCAACTAATGTAGATAATTAGTAAAAAACGTCAGAAATTTTCCGCTCGATCAGCGCTCACCCGAATTGTTTACCACTCGCTACCAATTGTAAAGAGGTCTCACATGTATGGATGTGTTTAGCTATTTTTTTTGTTGTTCCTGTCTTCACCGGCCCCGTTAAATCGAGATTTGTAGTGTTTTGTTATTTTGCTTTCTCATATATTTTTTCATCATATCTGATCATCTGTTGTAGATATAAACAATATAACTTACTAGGTATAGATTAATTTACTTAATTCCATGTTGGCTCTGTATCGTCGTTCAACATTCTAATTCAAAATTTTTATCTAAACCGATTTCTGTATGGATTTTTTTTACAAAGTGCAAGCTAGTCACAATCACAATTTTTCAATATCCCAACTCTCAATAACCTTTCATTAGAACGCCTTGCATTTGTTTGATGTTTATAAATATATAACGAGGCGGAATAATCGATGGATTTAATTTTATTTTTTAAATTTCCAAAAATAATAAAGCGGTCATTAAAACGAGATTAAGGAAAGTGGTAAAATGGTCTGATTATACAACTAACCTGCACTAATTTTGGTTCGGAGCTGATAAATTAGACATTGATGTCCTCCACCTGACCTAAAGCCTTAACTGAACTGAACGCCCAATTGCTGAACGCGTCTAAATCTTATTTGACGTGTATAGTTTGGCTGTTGTACGATCATATAGAGCCAGTATAAAATGTTCTGTCTCAGTATGTATTTTGATGGCTAAGCTATGGATTAATTAGTGATCTTTATAGAGGCAACATATTCTTGCCTCGTTATCTTTCATAAACCAAGATCACCATCAGATATAAAAGTATTGAACATAAAAAAAACGATGTCTATATATTGCAAATGAATATATTGTTAGATAAGTTTTTAATGTTTATAAGACTAGATATCAACATCTGTTTTGTTATTTTTTTTTTGTGGTAATGAAACCATATTTATCGGTAGATTCTTTTACATCTTTGTTATAGAAGGGAAAAGTCATAGTTCTGTTTATACCCATGGCTCTGATCTGTAGGCTATTATAATCTTTTTCCACTATGTGGGCTGTTTGCTATTTTTATATAATTTTTTCACAACTTTAATATTTCAGTTTCCGATCACGGAGTTTAAATGCTTTTTTTTAATTTACAGGATAATATGGATTCTCATAAAATAAACATGGAAAAACTACAAGAGTTTCTCTTTAAACTGTATGGATTGTGTAGAACCAATATTTTGTACATACGAGATGAGTTGTGTAATTTAAAAATGGAAATTGATGAACAGAAGAAATTCTTTAAAAGTAAATATTTAGAACTGCTGGAAAGTTGGAAGCGCAGTAACGAAGAGGCTGATATTCGGTATCGCGAACAAACTCAGAGGCTAACATTTGACCATGAATTAGAATTGAGTGATATGAAGGCAGCTTTGAAAGAGAAGGATGACATCATTGACTCTCTTAAGAGGGAGAAGGAAAATCTAAATGTAGAACACCAAGAAGAAATAGAGAAATTGAATAAAGAACATCAGGTTACTAAAGAGCTTTTAGAGAAAACGCGACAGGAGATAGCATCGTTTCAGACGAAACTCGAAGAAATTGAAGTAAATAAACAGAAGGAGATTAAAGAATTACAGGAGAAAATGCATATGGATTATAAGGCCGAGATTGAATCTTTGCGTTCAAGGTACATTTTATTTTACATTGAGGTTACATGAATTTAAATTTAATGTCACAGCGCAATCTTTATTCTAAAACCAATATTAACTAAAATTCTTATAGAATTGTGTAAAAATTGTTATAAATTTAGTTTATGATGGCTCGTAAAATAGTAATTTCACGAAATAATCAAATTAAAGTAATAATAATAGTTTAGAAAATAGCGGCTCTAAATTGGCAAAAAAATACTCTCATCCTAAATCTTCTTTCAAGATAATAATTATTTATAATATTTTGTTCATCATTTATTATCATAGCTAGAAGCTTTAAATAATACTTATTTTGAATTCTAAAACAATGATTTCTATTTTAATTCTTATGCACAAAGTTGTAGTATACTATTAGTATATAATATTTTTTTTATTATTTGTAGAATAGGCTTTGCAACTTTGTGCAAATAGCAATACTATTATGTTAAAGAAATTTTTTTATAAAAAAAACAGGTTCCGTCTGGTCGCGTTGACTAACATGGATCGCTCGCCATCCGAATCGAGTCTGGAGAAGATCGAGCGCACAGACGTGATCGAGATATCGAATCACAACGCGATCGTGATGCAGACCAAAGAGAACGCGGAGGTCGAGAGAGAGGAAGCGGTCAAGGAGGCGGTTGCCAAGTGCGAGGCCGAATGGAAACAGAAAATGGAGTCGGAACTGGATGCCATCAAGGCCAAGTATGAAGCTGAGAAACAGGTGGGTAAACTATTAGTTACGCAATTAGTCGGTATTGAAAATGTATTAAAGTAGAGGGTTAAAGTAGTCGCGTTACAGGAAAACGATTCATTTTATATATTTAACCAAGTTTTATAGACATCTTGCGGTGAGTGCGTAATGTTAGTATAGACTAGTAAAAATTCAGTAGTGAGCAATTTGAAGAAAATAGAGAAAAAATTCATATTATGATTTGTGTAAAGCATCTACTTAACCCTGATCGATTGATTGGAAAGACTTAAACTTCGCATTCCTCGTGTTTAGGATAAAGTGAATAAAGGTATCGCGTAGCATGCAAAAAGTATAGCCGATTTGAGTACCTTTTAGACGTCGGTTGAAACTGGTGTGTGGGTGTGTAGGTAACAATCAACGATGTACGTGGCCGACTGCTGTCGGAAAAGGACCGGCAACTGGAGGCGCTGCGCGAACGCGAACAGGCGCTAGTGCGCGAGTGCAACAAGTACCGGGACACCATACAACAGCTCACCGATCCAGAGACCAATGACTACGACGCACTGCTTAAAACTCAGGTTTAGACTTGTATAAAGCCGCGTGTACATGGGAACATTTTTGCGGCGGCAAAATTTCGGTGCCAGCGATTAGTGATATCAGTGTTTTGTGCAGTAGTTTTATCTTCATGATTCGATTCGCTTATTAGCACTAAAATATGTGCCATTTGATATTTATTACTCCTTGTTAATGCTGGCAGCAAGATTTTGCTGTCGAAAAATTGTCGCCGTGTCATAAAAGTGGCGTTAGATCAAGCGAGGAATTGTCTGTTTTACCCAAGTCTAATTTTTCCTTCTACTAATAGCATGGAACTCTTATGCCAAAATCTGCCTCTAAAAAATGTAAAATATTATTTTTTCTTTCAGTTCGCTACTCTTGAAAATGACAAAGCGCTACTTCAGCAACAAGTGGCTGAACTGAAGAAACAGTTGGAGAAAAAAGCCGACGAGGGGGAGAAGAGCAGAGAAGAAGATGTTGACTTCAGGTATGAATGAGTTTTATTATTATGATAGGAAGTACATTGCGGATTGGAGATGTTTTCTACCTTAAATTAATACTACAAAATTTATACCAATTCTGGAGGGGAGTGAGGGCAAGTGTACTATTGGAAAAGTAAATATAAAATTAATATTTTGTTAAATTTAATATTTTTAATTGCTTTTAAAATGAAATTATTGTACTACAGTTATGTTCAGAAATGCGCCTGTATATAATATGTTTAAAAACTAATAATCCCAACTTTTTTTATGCAATTTGTAATGCAAAGAAGCTATAAATTGATAAGCGAAGTTACCATAGAATGCACTAAAATCTCAAAAATGAATGGTTCATGCTTTGTCATTGCGGACTTTTAAACAGTAGTGGAGTGTCAGTTGTCGGCAGATCATGGGCCCATAACGGATGATTGTATAAATGAGATGTTTGTATTGAAGGCGCGGGCGCGGCGGCTGGGCCAAGTGGCGCGGGCACACGCCGCTGGGGCTGGCGGCGGGCGCGCTGAGCCTGTCGTCGTGCCTGCCCGGACACACCGTGCTCGTGCTGTGGGACCCCGCGCACCGCAACTACACCGTCATGCAGGTACTGCACCCTCTACACCAGGAGTGGCTAAATATTTCGATATTCGGGTCACATTGCAAATGAAAATTTGACCCCGGGCCAAACATTTTTTTTTTCTAATTTTAATTTTTGCTAATAATGTTAGTTAAAAAATTTTAAAAACAACATTTTTTATATCAAAATATTTATTTACAATTATCATTTGAATAAAAAAAACTATATATATATATATATATATATATATATATATATATATATATATATATATATATATATATATATATATATATATATATATATATATATATATATATATATATATATATATATGTTATTTGTTGAGCCTTTTTTGAGGGTTTTTGGTTTGGCAGATCGGTGGACAAAAACAGTATTCTGATATTTGATTTTCTTTTAGGAATCGTCGACTATGTACTTCGTGTATAGTGACTGCTTACCGTCCCTCGATCTCAGTATACAGGTGGATAACGAAAGCGAGAGACGTCTCTACGCTATAGCTACCGTTGAATCGAAAGAGTATTGTTATGCGAAGAAGGTATGGATATTTCGTTTTGTTACACGCGTTTTCTCCTTGACGTCCTTTGCATTGACGAAGGACATTTTCGACATAAGTTTAGTTTGTCATAATAGAACTTATTCATTTACGTATTCATAAATAACGTAACACAAGTGCCCATGCAAGTACTGCATGGGTACATATGAAGTATGATACAAAGGATTCTCTCTCGTTTATAAAATGTCCTTCGTCTGCGTAGGAGTTAAGATGAAATTTTGTAATTTTAAGATTGATTATTCAAAATAAAATTTTTATCTTTGGAAACTAATGGAAATCATTCAATTGACAGTTGACAGGTTGATGTAAAAAATTTTCTTTGTGTTTATCTTGTCTTCTTAAGTTTTAAATTCCGACGAGAGACTTGGATTATGTATATAACATTTGTCAAGTTAATATGAGAGACCTGAATTTTTCTACTAATGTTAGAATCTTTTTAAGAAAGGATTATGAAACTAAATATTTTCGCCAAGACAACTTAACGTCCAAAACTACAAAATAAATATAACCTTATAATTTTTTTATTTTTGATAAACAATATTTTTGTCCTAATATCTTGAATAGCATAGGTAGATTCTTAGTTTTACGTGCCTTATGATTTTACTGTTTTGATGATTATAGAGCAGCAACCGGTACTTAATGCCGCGCGGATCGCGCTTTTACCGTGTCCGGGTTCGTCCCCTGCGGCCGCACCTGCCGCAGCCCGCCTGCTGCCCCCCCGCGGCTTCCACCGCCACCAGCAGCGATGCGCGATCCAAACAAGGTCAGCTAGCACATTCGGCTCCTCATCACAACGATCATTCATTAATTACCGCTGTACATAGAGCTGTCCACAGACGTACATAGATTTAGATGACGCAAGTATTTGAATTTATTGACACTCATGCCATATTTGTGAGCCGTCATTATCCGCACTAGTCACTGGGTTTGTGTGTGGGAATTTGTTTGCTAAACTAAACGTCATAATATTTGATATATTCATAGCATTTGGGATGAAGAAGTATATAGGCTACTTTAATACGTTTCGGTTAAGTGCACAAAGTCGCTGGCAGAGCTAATATTATTTTAATATATATTTAAAATAATATATTTTGTTAAAAATTTTGTCTAATTTCAAACACCAAATCCGAAAAATAAATCTACGTGTGGTGGTAGATGTTGGTAGGTTGATTAGCTTAATAAATACCAACCTTCAGTTATAGGAATAGAATGGTTCACGATGATCGCGAAGAAGTGAGTTAATTCTGTACCATCTGCATCCATTAATTTGCTGTAACACATTTGAGGTCATCGCTCCATCTGAGGGGGGTCACCCAACATTGTTTTTGCCTCAAAATTCTCATACTCAGATTTATTAGGATTTAACTATGAACGATTAATCAATGAAAGGAAATTTCTTTGACGGGTTGTTCTAAGATTGTGTTTTAGTATTTTGGACTTTACACAGAAATAATTAGGCTAGTGCCTTACACTGAAATAGTTTGTCTTATCAAAATCATTTATTTATATTTTATTAAGACTAATTATGCACCTACCCTCTTATTCATAAAAAACTAAAACTTTCTACAAACCTATTTTAATTTACAGTGTTGTCACTTTTTTTCAAATTGGGAATTTAGTGCAAAAAAAAAAAAGACAAAACAGTTTAATAGTTAAAATAGGTTTATAAAATAGATTATGAGAGGTTTGATATTTTTATGAATAAGGGGTTAGATTTTACTAGTGCATGATAATTCAAACAAACACTTCATTATCACATAGTTTTGTAATATTGTACTAGTAAATGGGAGGAAAATGGCCGTGTCATTTTAAATAAAAAAAAAAAAGAAATTAATAATGTGCTTTTTTTAAATATTTTAAATACATTATTAAAAAAATTTAACATTGACATGGTAAAAAGAAGCAGTTTTTGAATGATGTAATTTGACTGATTGTCGGTAAAACAGTTCAGTCAATTTCTATTCAGATAAAGTCAACTGAGCTGAACTTGATTTTTAAGATGTCAAATTAAGTCATTTTGTAGATTTTTTTATAGCTTATACGGAAAGTTCGTTTACCTCCCATTTACAGTGTTGTAGTATCAAATAGTTACCGGCCGTATCGCTTTGCGCTCTTCCCTCATCATCATCATATCAGCCTTTAACTATTCACTGCTGAACAATAGCCCCCACCTTGAGCGGTTTTGCCAATAGTTGCCACGCTTGGCAGGCAGATTGGCAACCTCAGTTAGGCTTTGGAAATGTTTTAAAAGGGACGCTGCTGCCCATCCCTCGCCCTCCATCGCCTCTTACTAAACCCACGGGAAAGGAAGGAGTGGCCTATTTAATGCCGAGACCATACGGTACTCCTTCTCTTCTCTTCCTTTGCTTGTGACTAATCTATGTTTGCTTCACTGTGCGGTTGATACCTGACGCTGTTGCGTTGCAGATGCAAAGAAAAGCAGCGTCCTCGCCATGTTCGGTGAAAACCGGCCGGTCAAGAAATGGTTGACCTACATGCATGCACCAGGTCTTTGCTTTTTCTTCTTCCTTTTTTTTATATTTTCCATTTTTTGTTTTACATTCTTTTAACATTATTTGCTTGCGTGCGTTTAATTTTATTTTCTTAGATTAATAACGTCTGGAGAGAGTGTCTCACTACAAATACATTATCAAAAAAGCTGATTTATTTTCTTCTGTATGTGAATAGGTATATAGTATTAAATTAAGTGAGTAAGAAAAAGTAGTTTAAATAATTCCAAACAAAGGATGAAGATTAATTTGTTTACAATATGTACGCTCATATTATATTATATATCACTTAGAAAAAACATAAATTCATATCTTCAATTGTTTACTAAACTACTTACAATAATGAAAAAAGATTCTTTTGTTTGATGACCGTTTATGGTATAGTTTTGATACTTGACGCTCCATCTAGACGTATATGATCTATATAGTTTATGTTATACACAAAACGTTTTAGAATCACAAAAGGGTCTCATTAGATTCATACCAATTATAAAATAGTAATGCCTTCTGTAACAAAATTTAGCTTCGGATATATATTTAAATACATCATGTAGCATTATGGCTTCCTGCATTATTCATAGATACAATTCATCAGTATCACAATAGAATGGCACATTAGAGAAATGATTTCATGCCAAAGTACACATAGTTATTATATTATGCGATAACAGAATTGACTGATAACATTAATTATATGCTGAATAGTGTGTGTTTTGCATTTTAAATTAGGAATTTCGGAACTTGAAGTAATAACAGATTAATGAATTCTCATGCAAAATGCCACATGCTTTCTTTTTAAAGATTGACCTATTTACTAATACCAGTATAATATAATTTTTGGACAGGTCTGGTTTATTTATAATCATCTATATCTATACTAATATAAAGAGGAAAGATTTGATCGTTTGTTCGTAATGGATAACGCATTCGAAAACTACTCAATCAATTTCAAAAATTCTCTCATCTAGAGAAAGCTACATTATCAACGATTAACATAGGCTCTATATTTGTACATTCTAAATACTCGTGCGAAGCTAGGCCGAATTGCTAGTTTATAATTTTTTTTTAATAGATATACAAAAGCCTGCGGAGCCGAGTCGCGGTGAAGTGGCAACCGCCACGCTCATTAACCTGGAGTCGCCTGTCGCTGCCGCGCCCACAACTGGACTTCTAGAGACAGAGCAATTCGACTCGATAGAGGCGAGCGACCAGTGGCACACTTCGAAGATGCAGATGTCCACTGCTAGCGCTTTGTGAGTCATATTTAATTTTATTTTTTGAATGTCCTCTTTGTAATCGACAGGATTTACTCTTGTATTACACACTGACTACGATAAAAAAATGCTCCATCGTATTAATCGTAGTTGTGGCCAATGTTTTTGTCTTGAATTTGACTATAACAAACTGTTCTTTTTTTTATTTGAATTCGTCAATTTTCGGAACTGCCACTACTTACAAGTAAAATTAAAATCTAATGCTTATATCTGTAATAAATTAAATTTAACAAATTTATTTAAATATGCATTCTAGTAAATCGTATGGCCAATATATTATACTTGTTCTTGATATACGAATTCCTAAATCTGACCCGCAGTTATAACGAAACTTTATTAGACAAACTACGATACAAAAAAAATTTTTTTTTATTTGTTTTCAATTACACACGAACGATCCATGTTTTAAAAGAACAAAAGCCGAAGAAGATGATATACAATTGAATAAACAATGTTTGAGTGATTTCTCTTTGGAATGCAACTAAATTAAATGACGCATTCTACTGAACGCACTTTTGATGGTATTTTTAATTATTCTTTCTAGTAAATGTATGGATATATTATACGAGACGCGTACAAACAAATGGTCGGCAACGTGAACAACGATCTGTTACCAATAAATTTATATTTAAATGACATCAAGTTTTACTATCTCAATGTCATCATTGAGTTTAAGACAAGTAATTAGCATCTTTCTATCAGTTATCTTCGATATTTCGTTTGAGGTATAAGTGAGATGGAAAATATGTCAAAGAGTATATAAGAGTTTCAAAATTGAATTTCATATGGAATAGATCTATGCACATAGAATAGAACTATGAATGTAAGGAGTAGGAAGAGGCGTGTGAGAAAGGCTATAACGATGAACGACTTGAAAGGTGGTAAACAACAAAATAAATAAAATTAAAGAGGTATAGAATAGGCCATCCCTTCCATCCCCGTGGGTGTCGTAAGAGGTGACTAAGGTGACTTAATAGTTGAATGATGGATAGCAGCGTCCTTCTAAAAAAGTACATCATGATGACTTCTATAAATTTACTATTAGACATCTGAAGGCTTAAGCTACCAAACATAAAAACACGTCTATATCATTAACAGTTACTAGTACTGATCTGTGTTTAAAAAGGTTTAAAGTCATTTTATGTAAATGGTTAATAACAAAATGTTTTTATACCTGAAAGATTAAATTCACATTATATAATTGAATCTAGAATGTAGAATATTGTATGCAACACATATTTGTAAAGCCTAACTGTGGTTGTTAGTCCGCCAGCCAAGTGTGGCAACTACTGGCAAAACCCCCCTTTTGTGGAAGGCCTATATTCAGCAGTAGGCAGTAAGCGGTTGATATGATGATCCCACTGCATCTCACATCAATTCGCGGTTTTCGATGCCATCTCAAAATTGTTTTTTTCTTCTATGTAGTTTATAATATAATGTTTTAATTTTAGAACGGATATGGAGTGCAGTGTAGGCCGTTATCTTGGCCCGGAACCGTCAGAACTTACGCTACGTGCGGCTTTGTCGGGCACAGGGCCAGTGGAAGTCGATGAAACCGGGCCAGAGGGAGCTGAAGGGACTGAAGCGGCTGAACTGGCTGAGGAGGCGGCGCCTTGACGCCCCTGTGACATTTCACCGACCTCTCCAAGCTGTGTCGTAAATCGTGAGGCGTAGAGTTTCGGAGTAGATCTCCAATAGGCGATCAATCGATCGTGCCCGCTACAGTTTCCGAGCGGCGATCCGCATCTTCCACGTTTTGACTCAGGCGGATTCCTTCAACTCTCAACCTCGTCTTTGAGTAATGCGCGTTTGAAGTCGCGTCACGAGTTCCTCGTTGCAAATTGTACTCTATGTGATTTTATTACACGATTAATATTTATATTATTGTAACATTTTAGCGATCGGAATGAAGTCTCCTTCGATTCGAATTATTTCATTCTTTACAATAGTACAAATTTATATAGTCACAGAGCTTTATATATTTTACTTTGCAGTCTATATTTACTATTTTAATTTTATAATGTGTTGTGTTTGTGTGTAAGTTTTTAAAGATATTATAATTTCTGATGATTTATACTATATAATTTTGACCATCGTAATGTGAGCACAAAGTTGTATGTTGCTCTATTCATGCTGTATTCTTTGTGCATAGAATATTGTCGAGGTATAGTGATTACAGATGGTATTACACGGAACATTACGTATGTATTAAATCTTAGAGCCATGATTATTCTTAATATTGGCTTAATTTTTAAGTCTGTTTACTTGATACAAAGTTAGAGCCTATACAGACGAGGGACACTGCTTGGGATAGTTTTAGTGTATTTTTTTACTGTACAAATGTGGTACTTTTAGTCCCTTCTATGTGGTATAATGCGATGAAATTATAAATCTTCTATATTAATAGACAAACTATTTTAATAGACAAAAACACATACGAACTGTTCCTCGTTTGTACAGGTTTTTATAGTGAATATTAGTTAAATAATCGGTCTTAGGAATTTCGATAACAAGCTGTAAAATTTGTTATATAATAGGCTTTTGCAATTGATAACGCTTATACACGATCTCGAACTTGAATTTTTAAGCCGAAAATATTTTGACATTATAATAAATAATGTATACTGTCCTATGGTACTCTCTTCGAACTCATTAGTTTTATTTTTAATGAGAAGTGAGTGTTATCATAGATAGGGAAACATTACAATGAGAATACATATTTTATGGTTTATTAGGAACGGGAAATAACGCTAACGTTTAGGTAAACTATGGTATTTTACCAGATTTATCTCGACGTTTTGATCAGGTTACACAGCCCATGGTTACGAGTAAACTGATATATATGACATTCATTGTCCCACATCATACAAACTTTGTCACTATACTGAGGGTTTTTTCACCCAACACTCACCTTGTCTTTAATCGATACATTGCTTAAGTGGTCGCGTTAATTTTCGTCTCTTAATAACCATAAAATATGCATTGCGAATATCTAAAAGTTAGAATTCACGTTTCATTGCTAATGGATAAACCGCCACTAATAAAAAGCACACACACACAAATATTTGCGTCCGTAAGTTGTTTTAGCTGTTCTTATCATAATGATAAATGTAGATTCGTTGATCGAAGCGCAAAATGTAAAATTATGTTGTAATATATCAAGACATCGCTTCGTGTTAGATTTGTTTGTGGCCTTATAATAAGTGGCGCCCAATATGGGGCTACATGTGCCTCCGGTGGTACTTTCAGAGGATCGTATCTTGTGAAAGTATTAGCGGAGATACCGTTATCGGCTGCTGCCGACTGCTGTGATAGTGCGTGCTGTGCTCTCCTCAAACCATGCGAACGGTTTTACAAGTACAAAACTCAAAATTCTAATTATAATCTATATATTAGGGCCTATAGTTAAGAACATTATAATCAACAATTGTTACGTTACACTTAAGCCTGTTTTGTACTGATAAAACTGTTTGATACTGTTGACTCCAGCAATATTAAAGTATTTGTAAAATTTATCAGTGTCACATTTTTGCTTTCTGGCAACATGTGCCAATCACTGAGAGTTGTAGCGTCACTGCATAAAGATTCACAGTTAATAAGACATGTTAAGGTATATTATGAATTTGTTAAGATTATGAAGAATAAGTCCATGTACGAGTAACAAGTTTAACATAATACGAGGCGACAACAAATAGCTATGTTGTTATTGTACATAGTTGATTGATAAAATAACATAGGGTCTAATTAGTAAGTTTTACAGGAGTCATGTTTTCCGATCAGTAAGACGGCGAATTCGATTTAAAATTTGATGAAGTATGATTATGTATTATTTGATACGTTTTTAAAGGTAAGGCTAGCTTTGCTATGTGGCTTCGTATGTTGTTCTCATAGATAATTATATCCGAAAAAAAAATACATAAGGATATTAGTGAACTGAGAGAACACCATATGTAGTATAGGATTTGGTTGATTATGCTGGACAGTCACATTGGATGGTGTTGATATTATAACGGGATCTTCGTGGGTTCTTTCATCGTTAAAATTTTTGATCGTCGTGTCATGTTATTGTGTCATACGGACATTTTTGGAATGTTTTGCGATTCAAATATTGCATAATAATAAATCTATTGTGTGATTGCTTAATGGACTATTTTGTAGTGACCAATTTTATCGTTAGTTCATACACAATAAAAATGTAAAATTAAAAATTTTAATGTAATTTTTATATACAATAAATAGACCATTTTGTACAAATTGTGAATTTTATTTGCTCAGAAACCACCTCATATTTCTTAATTATTACCAAAATTCATAATAATGTAAGTATTCATAGGAACAAACAATAAGTTGTAGATACCAACTGGAGTAACTACACTGGACTTTCAAGTAACAACCAAGAAAACTATAATAACATACAATTATATACAAATTTCATTTGACTATTTTAAATTATATTATAAAAGACCATTGAATGTATGTACAGGCTGTTGATGTTGTACGTTGTAATACGGTTTGCCCTCTGGTGGGTTATTAGACTGGAAAGCGCAAGACGGATAATTCCATTGTACTTCCTCTAAATTATTATTTTGAACGCATTCTTGACCATAACCATAAAATGTCTGTTCTGGCATTTGCATTTCTGGAGAAGTACTGTTGCTTCCGGTAGGGTAATATTGCGTTTCTTCAGGGTAATAAGTTTGATTTGGATACTGGTTTTGGTCGTTGTACATCTCTGCTTGTTGATAATTGTTAACGAACAATTCTGGTGATGGGGTGTTGCTTGATTCCGAACTACTGGCGGTAAACTGCCAGTCTTCGGTTTGTATTCTTTCCCAATATTCCGATCCTGAGTTTTCGTTAAGGTTTATAAATGTTGAAGGTGATTCTAGGGCATTTTCTTCAATGGGGAAATTTTGATTTAAAGGTTTTTCTAATTGGAAGATGTGTTCAGGTTGGAATGATTCTTCTGTGAGAAGTGCTGAGGATTCGTATTGGTATGGTTGGGGTAACGCTGGTGCGGACTCAATGGGTTGTGCGTAGGTAGCATATTGTTGGGGTTCCGCTGGTGCCCATGACATTTGGCTATAATTTTGTTCTGTCTGCTCTGAACGCCATCGGCATGTGCAGCCAAACTGTCCACAACTGCAGTTCATTACTGTTGGCAAAAAAATGAAATATGGTTGGTACATAGAAGCAATTGTAAAATAATGGGGTTATTTCGTTGAAATTAATTCGACCTATCCAAAGGATATTGTTTAGAGATAAATTTAGTGGTGTCTTGAAATTAACAAGGACTGAGGACTTAAATGTAGAGGACCTCTACATTTAAGTTTTCAGTTCCCGATCCTCATTTACTTCTTTCTTTAATCTCGTGTAAAGAACATAAAAAAAAAACTATATGAGCAAGTAAAATCTTGATAAAAAATTAAAAAGTATTAAAAAATCAATGCATAGATACATATTTGTGCTCAATAAACTTTTTGGTTTTGGGACTCCCTCATTGTGCCGTAAGTTGTAAGATGTTGTGTTTTGGTTTGAAATTTAGGAAAGCAGCCATGTAGGAGGTATAACAACTTAGTCCTCAGCAGTTATTTAAGTCATAAGTAGTGAATTAATTGGGTTCTTAGTTTTTTTTTTTATCTCTGTAGATCGATTTAGAAGTCGTGTTGATGTGAAACCTGAGAGACTTCGAATATCAAAGAGATACGCTGGCGTCGTTTATTTCATTATGTCAATTTTAGCTAAATGTTAATGCTGATAAAGTCCATTTTTAAATAGTTATTAATTTCTTTGCCACATCTGCTTCGGTTCAGTATCGCGTGTAGTCTTAAATATATTAATTCTAAATACGAAATCTAAAGGTATGAAATTAAAAATTGCAAATTCTTACCTGGTTGGTTATCTGGTATGAGTGGCGGCGGCTGCGGATGTGGATTACAAAACTTTTGAGAAATTGGCTTATCTGGCTTTACTGATAATATTTTGCCTTTTATAGGAGCCGTTTCTCTTGATAAGTATAAAGCGAGTCCTCTCACTCGTTTTCCAGATCCAAATGACCGTTTTATTTCGCTGGCACCTTTTGCTTCTGGCCTGGGATGATCGTGAGCACCTTTCGCTTGGAAGAATATAGCATGTTCTGTGTGCCGCCAGAAGTGAGTTACAGGATAACCACAATGACCGCGGCACGGTTGAACTTCTAACCGTCCGCGACACATTCTATTTGTGCATGGTTTTCCTGCAAATAGAAGACAATTAGAACTGCATATAAAAATCATGACTATAGATTATATATACCTAGAAATTCTGGAAATTACGATAAATATAGGTACCTAATACTTTGGATGGGGCGAGGAGAGATGTTAGTAATGGGGAATAGCGACCTGTAGATATATACGGCTAGTAATATACCTTATCAGGTCGACCTCTACACGGTATCATCTGAAAATTATCACGATATATTTTTATAAGTTCGTTATTATGAGCTAATTGATCTACTTTTTTTTACCTATCATCCCTCACTGGTGGCCAGCCAGTGTATATACCAATGACACGGGGTTACCATTCTATTATCGTTTCATAAGAAAAATATTTCTGATGTTGCATTTGTAACTTTAGTAGAGGCAATTGATGGCTAATATGGAAGGTTGTAGAACTTCTAGTGATAATAATAGTAGTCAATCTTCGAATGTTGATAGTCGCATGCATACTAATAGTAGAGGAAGTAAACAAAATAATTTTAATGAAATAACTAGTGATATGGACAATAAAACAATAATAATCATCAACGAACCTTGTTGTTTTTTCCGTGCTTTATCGCATATAGCTGGTCGAATATGAACTCTAGTTCCATCAGGGGTACGACACCGCGCGGAACATACAACTACGCCAAGACAGCTTTTCTTCAAAATGTGAACGTTATGGTTGTTGGTATTTCTCATTGCCCAACCAGATGCGTGTCGTCTGGCCTCTTCGCAGCCTGGAGGGTATACACGGCGAACGTGCCCGTCACACCATTCGGCAAATGAATCGAACGAGGTCACTCGTGGTACTACGGCGTCGTTGATGTCCCACTCAGGTGTAGACTGTCCCTCTGTCATATCCGCTCGTCTTCTGAAAAGTAATACTAACTTTAGTATGTTTATATGATATCCATGCCATGCATTTACCTACTTATTTTTTTTAATGGATGATAATGGAATGGTAACCCCGCCTGCGCTAACGGTATACGCTGGCGGGGCACCAGTGAGAGATGATAGATGAGAATGTAAAAAGCAGGTCAGTTAGCCCATCGTGATGAATATACTAGGAATTCAGCACGATGGTTTCTAGGGGGGACCACGGGGAGGTCGACCTGGTTAAGTATATTGCTAGTAATAGCTTAGTCTCCATTACTAACAATCCCTCCTACTTATTTATTATAACAGGTAATTTTTTAGAGATATTGATGAAGTCAATTTACTTATGTTAACTCTAAGTATTTACCTAAGTACAAGGCAGGTTATTTATCGTCACATGCCTAATCATCACCTACCTAAATGATCTTCATTGTATGTCCTCCTTGTCGGCTTAATAAAATTGTGTTTTTTTTTTGTATTTTTCTTTCTTTTTGGTTCTATCGTAGACCGCAATATTCTCGACCTTCTTATATGACATACTTAGGTATTTAAAATTATATTTTTACTGAATAAAACGTTAACTGAATGGTACACTATACTTTTGTTATATGTGTTCCTACAGGTGTTTATATAAACAGCATTTTGAGCTATTTATACTATAAATTGATTAACACCTTGGTACTTGAAAATAAAACTCAGAAATATATTTTCATAATATAGGATAGTAAAGGCCTACTACTAATACTTAGGTACTATATGTATGTTGTCTGCCTATTTATATATACGTAAAGTAGGTAAGTACCTACTTTATTGGGTATTTTGTTAATTATATAATTTGCATTATTTTAAGACCAATTCCTTTGAAATTTTTCATTTTTTAATTTTCATCTTTTGGAAGTATCTTTTAACTACTAAGGGCAAATTATCTAAACTTGATTAGGTATTTATAAAAAAAAATTAACTTAATAGGGAGAGATTTCTGTAATTTAATTCAAAACTAAGCCTTTTTAGATATACTCATTTACACAACTAATTGCATGTCTATATTTTTAATTTAAAAAACTTCAACAATTGTTTTTAATAATGCACTAAAAATTTCTTTAGATTAAAGAAAATAAAAGCAATACTTTTTTTTTGGATTTTTTAATAATAACTTATTTTCTTTTTGTATTCAGAAAAAGAAATGAATCGTAATTTAAAAATGTAAACACCAGTGAACGACGTTAGCTCAATTTGCGGAGAAAGCTCCCCCTCGCAAGCTTCGTTGAGCCAATTGCTTCAAAATTACCGTCTGAAGGGGCAGGCCGTGCCTTAATTGGATAAACAACTTTGTACTGAGAGGATAATGTAGGTAAATATACAGGCAGATAGATTCTTTGAAATAAACCGATGCAAGTAAAGATCGGCCGAAGGTACAAAGGCTCTGTTGTAATTATAAATAGGTTCGTATAAAATTGTATTTAGTTAAACTAACTTAAAAATATAAAATCGTTATTTTAGATTTTGGTACTTGGATTTGTATACGTAACTTGAAGGTTGGCCTAATTTTTATTATTTATTTATGGAAAGCTCACATTTTTGCTGGTTGGTTGTGGGGATACATGACACGTTTTTACAGATTTAAAAGACACAAGGAGTAGGTACGGGTTAAAAGAAAAGAAAATCTGTTAAAAAATTAATATAGATGAAAATAGAAGAATAGAAAAAGTGGAGAAGAATGTAGTTAAGTAAGTTAGCATGACGCGATGAGCCATATTAGGTAACTATCTATCCTATATTAATTTTTGCCGCTGAAAATCAGCGTCATGTTCAGTAGAACATATCATATAGCTTGGTGAAACCATTTTAGTGCTTTTCTTTTCCTTTTTGTTTATTGTTAAATATTTTATGTAATTAAGTGTGCAAATGATAAAATTATGTAATAAAGTGATTAAATATTTCCTTCTTTCTCTAGTATGTATTTAGGTGTCAATAATATCCAGTTATTATACAATATATCTACTTGTGTTAGCCATAGTTAGTTACTTTACTTAAATTTTTTACTTTACTTACTATATTGTCTGTGGCTACGGTACTCGATTACCTTCAGACTGGTCGTCTTCATGTTTTCTACTATACTATACCACAATAGTAGCACATTGTGAGGAAAGCTGAGTTGAGCATTTATATTTTGTTTGAATATTCGAACAGAATTAAAAGATTCCTTATTATTATGTGGTTAGATCTTTAGTCGATTTCGTGTATTTTATTTAAATGTCTAAATTGTGATATAATTAAAAAAATTGGAAGTCAGTTCATTCTAACTTCAAAATCATCTCGAACAATTGAGAGATGTAAATTTAAGCTCATTGACACTTCTAAGAATTGATAAGTAGCTCCTCGTATATAGAAACGAAGTCTGGTTAGGGATTTCATATAACTCTGTGGACATCGATTTGCAAGCTTCAAGTATACCCAAAATTGAGCGACATGACAATTAATTTGTACGTTGTAATTCATAAATAAAGTTGTTACTGTTAGTAAATAATATTTATTTCATTTTATTGCATATAAAATATACTTTAACATAACTATTTAATTGAAATATTCATCTGCCCGCTTTTTGCAAATATATAATGTGATTATCATTTTCTTACAGAGGGATCATTAAGTGGTTTAGAATCCGCATACCTAACTAGGTACTATTAAGTTCTCTTATTTGGTATATAATACACTCTAATTATAAAGATTTAAATCCTCATTATATAATTATTTATTCGTCAGTAAGTAGGTACCTATTTAGATACATAATAAACGGTTAGATATAAGGCGAATGTAATGCTATAAGTAAGTACATACTAGTGGTCGCTCAGTGGTCGAAATTCGCCGAAATATACTTATATTGTAATAAATGAATTACTTATAGTTAAGTTTGACATTCAGTAAGACTATAGACAAATAATATTAAAGATAAACAATATTACTGCACTCCTTCTCTATATAAACTATAAGTGTGTTAAATTTCATACTCCTCCGACTGCGCAATTTTCGTAAAAAGGTACCTCTTTTTACGAAAATTAAGTTGTTTTTGGTTGTCTTCATGTATTAATAGTACATAGATTCTCTTCTAGCCAATCTCATTCTAAAACCCTTTAGTAGTTTTTTTTTTTAAATTAGCCTAGTCTTTTTCAGTCGGTTTTTTGTGGTTGCCTACTAGAAAGTTGTTTTGTAGAAATTATATTGAAACATCGTTACGTTCAGTTATCAAAAATGATGACATTTTCTATTGTATTTTATTATTAAAAAAAAGTAGCTGTTATATGATTTACTTATATATATTATTAGATATTTAATTTTAAGTCCCAAAAATGAATTTAAATATGTAGAATAAGCAAATTCAATGTGGATTGCGCCAAGTAGCGCCTGCGCAGGCGTCACCGACTCAATGAGTTTCAATTAGGTCCAATTGGCGTCCCTCCGGCACCTTCCACAACCCACCCCACTTTGACTACTTATTTATTTTATGGTATGATCGACACTGCGTTAACCACGAGGGGAGTGATATCATTCTGATGAGAAAAATACCTATTATAAAATATTGGTAGGTGCTTTAATAAATTACACTATACTAATCCTTCTGTGTAGGTTTTTTTTTAATGGGTGATAATGAAATGGTAACCCCACCCGCGCTAACGGTATTCACCGGCGGGAAACCAGTGAAGGATGACAGGTGAGGATGAAGTAGGTCAGGTAGGTAGCCCATCGTGACGAATTCAATAAGAATTGTTTACGATGGTTTCCAGGGGGAACCACGTGGAGGTCAACCCAATAGGGCGAATTGCTAACAATGGGGCTATCAAACTCCATTGCTAACAATCCCTTTCCCCCCTTCTGTGTAGGAGGAGGGGACTGTCAATAATGGGATATAAGTTTAATTGCTAGTAGTGCAAGCTCTATCAAGTTAACCTCCTCGTTACTGGAAACTACTGTGGTTATTTCCTGATGAATTCGTTATAATAGGCGAATTGACCTTTTTTTTTATACAACATAGAATGGCAAACAAGCTGATGGTCCACTGATGGAAAGTGGTAATCGTCGCCTATAGACATGAGCAGTACCATGGACATAACAGAGTATACTGTTTCGCCCATGATACCCCCCATGCGTTGCCATTCCTGAGGACTCAGGTGTTATTCCTCTGTACCCAGTAAAATCACGCCATAATTATTTTTAATTACCTAAAATAGGTCACTGGTGGTTGATAGTGTACATTGATGGCGCAGGCGGGATGAACATTCCATTTTCATCTTATACTACATCTGTTATGAATAATTCTTAAGATATATTTTAACAATTTAATTTCAATATAGGTTAGGGTAAAACAAAGCAAATTAATTTTTCTGATAGTAAGTGCTAAGCGTCATCAATAAATTTAATTTTACAGATATCGAACAATAACTATATTCCTTATACTGCATGAGATTTCATGTTTCTTGTGTACTTAGTCGTCTCCGAGTTTTTACGAACTCAAGTCACAATAATGCATGAATTGGAAACTGACGAGAGTGAAAGAAAGCTCTAAAGAGTTGATTATAAATTGACAACGAATCAATTTAGTTACATTCAACAATTAGTGTTCCTTAAACTCTTTTATATAAATTATGCTCCACAAGATTTGTGTTAGTACATTTATACGTATTTTTTTCTGTTCAAATTTGTAATTTGGTTTCCGTTGAGTTTTTGTATTATTCTTGAGAAATAAGATATGTATTGTAATAAAATGTATCTCGTATGTAAATTCAGGTTTTCTAAATTATCATTGCGTTAGATTATAAATACCAAAATACGTTCAGTAGGTTTTGAATGATGTGTGTACAGACTGTTATAGTTTTATTATAATTAGTATTATTATATATGTATGAATTTTAAACTACGATCTAGGTTAAAGTGTCTACTTATTTGTTGTTGTGCATTATTTTTGATTTCTTGTTACCCACTACATGTAATTAGGAGACCTCATATAATTCGTTATATTAGCTTTTTATTTAATTGTTATACTTAAGAAGGTCAGCACGTAATATTACCTGCATATAGGTATGTAAAATGTAATTTTCAAATTCAATAAAATATACATTAAATGATTATAATAACTAGGTAGGAAGCCTATAATTAGTCGTATTTATATTTAGGCAGGTATACTTTACCAGATTGATTAGGCATGTGTAAGTCATATAGACATTAGAAAGATAGATAAATGGGTAGGTAGGCACACTGTAGTATATATACATCTTATATATCACACCTTGCATCATCACACTGCTCGCCATCGACTACAGTGACCGTTTATCATTAGACGGGTTGTACTATTGTTTGCCACCTACGTGGTATAAAAAAATATATATATCTAAATTATTATAATTTTAATAGGTAAATATTTATTTCTTAATTACTTTTATTTCTTACGTTAATTTTATTTTTATCTGCTAAAAATATCCTTCTCCTGTAGTTTGGGGGCTTTTGCCAGTAGTTGCTACGTACGACAGATAGGTTGACAACCGCAGTTTTAATGTTTTAAGAGATTTTTTTTATTCACTATTTATTTAAAATCCCTGCCATAGGATTTCTTTAACCCATTTGTAGACAAATGAAAAGAGCCAATTGCAATTACAAAAATTATTCATTGTAGTTACAAAAATAAATATAGGTAAAATAAGAACAATATATTTTATAAAATATCAGGAAATTACAAAATTATATTATTATTTGTATTATATTTAGTTATATTTTATTAGTATTGTATTTTAGTCACCAATCATTTGATATAATAATGTCACTTATATAGACGTATAAGATTAATTGTAAGATTCTTTTTCTATACCACTTAGGTGACAAACAAGCATACGGCCCACCTGATGGTAAGTTTGTATCATAAATCAGCCCATTCTATATACTGATTGTTCTAGACATTTTTAAAGTCATAAGCCAAATTACAATGTTTCGAGTTATAACATTTCAATCCTTATGAATGGCAACAAACATATAAAGGATACCTTGAGTATCACAAATGTATTTTGGCCATGGTGTTATTCATGTCTACAGGCCACCCCTATAAACTATTTTTCTATCTAGTGCATCAGCTTGTTTGCTATAAAAATGCAAGTTGCATAAAAACGATTTTCATGTTCACCTTCACACTTTTCTAAAAGGTTATTGAATATTTTGCAACAAGCTCGAGTGTTTATTCTCTATGTAGATAATTGCCCGCCATATGAATACACCCTTAATAGTTGCTGGTGTAAAACAATAGTGAGATGTTTTAGCTTTTTCGGACTATGTAGACATTGACGTCACTATTATGAATTATATAATTTATATTATATTATACATATAAACATTTTATCTAGAATAACCGTCTATTGAGTAAATAAATAATTAAAATCCATTGCGTAGTTTGAAAGATCTAAGCGTACAGACGGCAGAAAGCGATATTTCATTCTATGTAAAGATAAGTTTTCCAAAATATTTGTAAATGTTTTTTATTACTTATTACATTCGTAATAAAGTTTATGAAAATTTTGATTACCTATTACCCATGTAATACGATAGTTGCAAAAGATCATTTAGCTATGTATTTTTTATTTTAAGAAATCTTAATAAATTAAAAACACACACAAAATAATCTATGTATTTTGCCGTGTGATTTCGGTATAAAATAGGCCACTCCTTTCTTTTTCGTGGGTATCGTAAGAGGCGACTAAGGGAACTTAATGGTGGAGGAATGGGTAGCAGGCTCCCTCTTAATACTCGTTACATCACCAAAGCTTAACTGCGGTTGCCAATTCAGCCAAGTATGGCTGTGTACTGGCAAAATCTTCAAGAGGCCTAGTCAGTAGTGAACATTAAACGGTTGATATCAATCTCATCTGCGTCTATGTATTTTTTTTTATACAACTCAGAATGGCAAACAAGCTGACGGCCCACCTGATGGAAAGTGGTAACCGTCGCCTATAGACATGAGCAGTACCATGGACATAACAGAGTATATTGTTTCGCCCATGATACCCCCCATGCACCGTCATTTCTGAGGACTCAGATGTTATTCCTCTGTACCAAGTAAATTCACGCCATATCCCACCCTTCAAACCGAAACACAGCCATGCAAACATAACTGCTTCACGGTTGAAACACGAGTGGGACAGAGGTACCCAAGCAATCGACTTTTGTACAAAGTCTCCCTCAGGTCAAATTAGTATACCGTCAACTATGTAATAAAATTTTTATTATGGTCAATATTTTTTTCATCTACTTACAATATGTGTTCCCAAATTGGCACTGTGGCCAAAAATGGGTTAAAAAGTCAATTTCGCAGCGTCATTAAGACGATTAACTATATCTATTTATTTAAAAACAAACTTTTGACGAGAAATTGTCATCGTAAAGACTATTCAGACATAATATAAATTGTTATATTGTTATAAATTCTGCATATATATTTCTAGTACCTATTTCATTATTTCATATATTATTAATAACTTCAATTATATAAATAATAAATTAATCAAAAATTCAAATGAAAAATTACAAGATGATGCAGTAAAACAACCTCTTAAGTACATTGTTCAATGTTAGTTATTAATAATAAAAAAAAAAAAAAACAATATACGTATCCATAAAACATATTTTCTAATAAAAATATAATTCCTTACTTACAGGATCACCATCTCCAAATAAATGCGAGTGCCAGCACAATCCCAATGTTGCAATCTTGTTCACTGAGTTCACAATAGCACGATATTCACTCGTAAGAGAATAAACTTAATATTATTTATTTCTATTTTATCGCAAAAATAATTGTAAAGCATTAAATACACATACACGCAACGAAAGCTCTGGGCTTACTAAGTCGGATAACAAACATAAACATGGGGATGATTTCTCCCACCATACACTAGGTGAGGATAGGTGGGGGGAGCTGATCGTCCAATATTGACGCTCCGTTCGCACGACCCCGCCTCCTGGCCAATCAGCGAATGCGTTTGGTTACCAATGGCAGTTTTCTACAAACTTTTTTTTTAGGGAAAAATCGTATTTAGGAAATATCTGTTACGTACTCGTAAATGCATGTGTGGAAATTGATTTTATGTAAGTAGGACGGTTTGTTCGATAGAATGAGATCTCGTTGCATTTCGAAGGTAAATTTTTGCTTTATTATCTATGTAAATCTATGTATATACTACCTTAATACACATAAATATGTTTATGAGAAAATAACATAAACAGTAAATTATATTTACTTTAAATATATCAACTATCAATACTGTAAATACCTACCTAAATTTATAAGTGCATGGTAGCGTAAGGTGAACTTCACGACTGACTCAAGGTAGGTAGGCGACATCCTTGATAGGTAAAGACTAAATATTACATAATAAATAATATATATATCACATAAAACAATAATATATATATATATTACATGATAAAGACATTGAATGGGTAGACATCTAAAAAGTTATGTATTTTCTGAAAACTGTTTCATGTAATTCGATAAGGATGCTAGCTAGGTGTGGGGAAATACGAATACTTAAGGGAAAAGTTAAATAAAATGGCAGAAGTACGATACAATTTCTTTTAATGCTTCTTAATCAGATATACTTAGTATTCAAGGTCTTAATTTTATAATCAACATTGGTGTGGCGTATTACTGGCCATCATAATATGCGCATCATATTTTACAACTTATTTTCTATCTTCTTTTGTTTTGTAACTAGGTATATATTGACTTTATGTTTTTCTACTGATTTAAATGAGATAAAAGAGAACTGCAATATCAAGTATTTCAATTATTTATCCGTTTACATTGCTAGAGGAAAAACAAAAACGTCAGTAACTTGACATCATTCTGGTAAATCCGCATGTTAACATGGGGTATTTACGAAGTAACAAAAACAACTGATTGCTTTTCATTGCAAATCGTTGATATTTAGGGCATATGATTTCTACGTAGGTACCATATTGATTTGATATTTAGGCAAATTTCATGATAATTGATTTTTTATGCAATTTAGAATCTAATATAAATTTTGTGCAAATCGATTCAGTAGTTTTTTTTTTTAAATAAAAAATACTAATCTGTTAAAATAACTGGTGAAAATACTGGATTAGTATTTTCTTTTTTTTTGTATTTATCATTTATAATCTTTATTTTCCATAAAAATTATGAAATCGCATCTAAAATATCTTACTACTTTGTTATCTCTTTATCTATCATATCTTACCATTCTTTTTATTCTCATTCATGTTTCTTCTGTAAAAAGGTTGTGTTTATAGCTTACGTTGTCATATCGGTTCTGTGAAATACATTTGCTGCTGGAAGTTGATTCCAAAGAGTTACCACTTTCCTTCAGGCGGGCCGTTATCTTGTTGGCTATTCTAAGTTTTTTTGTGTGTGGAAGAAAGTGCCTTGAAAGATGCACGACAAGTACAATGGGATAACAGCGTATACTGTTTTTATGTTCGATTCTGCATATCTGCCTAAATCTGGTAAATGATAAGTCATTGATCATAAATACTTTCTTATTTATTTTATGACTATGATTAATAATATAATAATATATGTACATATGTAGACATAAATGACGTTTTATCTTAGTTCGTTGTCATATCGGTTCGAAATACTGCTGCTGGAAGTTGATTCCAAAGAGTGGTTGTGCGTGGAAGAAAGTGCCTTGAAAGATGCACGGTGGATGCATGTACTTTATGTTCGATTCGCATATCTGCCTAAATATAGTGTGATCATAAATACCATGACATGAGATTTTAATATATGGAGATGACGTTTTAACAGGTATATACGTATTTATTATTTTTAAATTTTTTAATTGGTGATAATGGAACGGTATCTCTGTTTGCGCTACCGGTGTACGCTGGCGAGACATCGGTGGAAGATGATATATGATAAGATGAAAGGTGAAAGCAGGTCAGTTGGTCCATCGTGACGAATTCAATAGTAATTAACTACAATGGTTTTCAGGGAAACCGCATAGAAATCGACCTGACAATATACCTTAGCAAAATACTCTATATTGTTATTTGCTTGGGTACCTCTGTACCCAAGCAAACGACTTTTCTACCGTGGGTACGTACGTATTTCTACCGTGAAGCAGTTGTGTTTGCATGGCAGTGTTTCAGTTTGAAGTGTGGGATATGGCAGTGAATTTAAAAGGAGGGGGGGGGTCTTATTATGAGCGAAATAATATTATGTCCATGGTATTGTTCATGTCTATAGGCGACGGTTACAACTTTCCATCAGGTGAGCCGTCAGCTTGTTTGCCATTTTAAGTTGCATAAAAAATATGAAAACAAGAATAGTAGGTATATAATGTTTACTGCTCGGTTAAAATATAAAAGAGAACATGAACTATCCGTGTAGAAGCTATATCATCAGAACCTATTTGGTACTGGCAATTATAATAATAAATACAAATAGTTTTTTTTTTCTGTCTGAAAACAGTTCAGCATTAGTTTGCATACAATTTACATACGATTGTGACACAAATCGATAAGTAACAGTCACGGTATGTTCTACTATTGGCTGGCGCAGGCCCCACCGTCTTGTTTCAATTACCGCCCAAATAAGGTCGTGCGACTGCCGAACAAATTGCGTTCCGCGCCCTGCGGAAGTTGCCAATTCGCAAATTGACAACAATTCCCTTTTAACTAAGATGTTTCATAGTCACGTTGTGAGATAATATTGTAAGTTGTTTTCATCATACATACGCATTTATGTGATAAACTGGCGTTTTCTTATAAAATGTTTGCCTTAATTTAGCACAAAACATTTTATATCTAATATATTAAGATCGTAAATTGTGACTGATAAGTTACAATTTAAGATTGAATGCGCGTGGATTTTTAAAGACCTTGACAAGTGCTCCCCATCATTTGATATATTCCACAAGGTCCTAAGCATATTGAAATTTAACTTTAACATAACACAGCTTTTGAGTAACCATGGATATCATGAACAATTCAACAACATTCAATTCAAACTATATTTATATGGGGGAAAGGGATTATTAGTAATAGAGACTGAGAATCCCATTGCTAGCAATATACCCAACCAAGTCGACCTCCTCGCGGTTCTCCCTGAAAACTATCATGGTTAATTCCTGATGAATTCATCATGATGGGCCAACTGGCCTGTTTTCATTTTTATCTATCACCCTTCACTGGTGCTTCGCCAGCGTATCCCGTTAGCGCAGGCGGGGTTACCATACCATTATCACCCATCAAAAAAAAAGCTATATTTATATATATTATCCGTGGTATATTAATGTATAAGAGCAATAAACCTAAATATATATTTATATTTCTTTATCTTAGAGTATCTCTAATAAAAATGTGCTTAAACTTTATATGTTTGCATTAAATTATAATTCTCTTTATGTGGAACAAAAAAGAACAATGTAGACCATTGTGCTTTTCAAATGCCATATATTATGGGGGAAGGGATTATTAGTAAAGCGAACTTTCAGTTTCATTTTTAGCAATGTACCCTGTCAGGTCAACCTCTACGTGGACCTCCCTAGAAACCGTCGTGCTGAATTTCAGGTGTATTCATTACGATGGGTTAACTGACCTGCCTTTTCATCGTCACCTATCATCTCTTATTGGTGCCCCGCCAGTGTATACCGTTAGCGCAGGCGGTTTCCATTCCATTATCATTAATTAATAACAAAACATGTTAAAATATTAAAAGAATATTTAAAAGAATAGTGAAGAAGTAAATTTATGTATCTACTCGTATACGAGTATATATAAAAATTAATGCCACTTTTCGTTGCGATTTTATAACTCAAGAACGGGCTCACCTATCCAAACCAAATGTTTAGGCTTTGTTCGGACTATTTAGTACATTGTTTATGTGAAGTTTGCATAAAATCGGTCGAGTGGTTCTTCATTTATCACATTTTTTGTAACAAATGGATTCAATAAATGGCGGATCATTTTGTTGATGGGGATTTTTGTGTCAAATTCAAACTTTTATTAAGATGGGGATTGTGCTGTCAAATTAAAACTTTTTTCAGTGTTTACAGTACAAGCATGTTCTTATGTCACTCATGCTGTCATTTAAATTTTTTTTTTATTATTTCACTTTATACGTAGCGAAGCACGTACCGGGCCGCTAGTCTTGTATAAAAATACAATTATTCATGCATTCCGCAAACATTGTCAATACCTAATTGTACATACCTAGTTGTATAGTGGAGTAGAGTACGTCTGTAGAGGTAAATACGTTACAATTTATTTGTTAAACTCGCGTCGAGTGCTTTTAGAGACAGGGGTCGTGTAGCAAACAGCGAATTAGCGGCGAAATGTTCGTGAGTCAACATCGCCTGATCAAAGCGTACACACAGGCATATGACAGCCGACAAACTTTTTCACATGGTAGTTGTAGTTGTACTTCTAGTTTTAGTCTATGAGAAGTAAATCTATAGACAGAAATAAAAATCAATTGTCGAATATATGTAAGCGCATCTGTTTAAAATGGCTGCATCATTTCTTGTAACACGGCTATGCAAAAACTTACGCCCCTACGAAACTGGTGTGTTAGCCACTGATTGTTAATTTTATTTATTTAAATCTTAAATAAAAAAGTAATTTTAGTAGTATCCAATTTTTTTATTTTTTGCAGGAAGTAATATATAATATAATAATAAGAATAATGCACACATACATGCATATCCAATACATACCCAAACATAGTATCCAGAAGCGTAGTAGTCAGGAAAGTTTTGTAGATATGCGTCATAGGTATGTTGAATCACGTTAAGTACTTAATGTACTAATGTGTGTAATAAATAACCCATGTGGTTATCGT